TTCTGTCACCTCCGAGGGTTTCATTGGCATCAGGGGGTCAATAAATACAGAATCAACTTTCACAATTTTTTATTTAAACACCGCCTGTAAACGGGGAGACGAGGGTGGCTAAAATATATTCTGCAACCCTGTCTCCTCGGTGGCTACAAATTTCAACCCTCCGCATACATGCCTTCCCCTTCACCCGCTCGTAAAATCACGCGTTCTCGGTAGCATCGAGGAGGACTTCTCAGGACCGAAAAGAACTGAGGATTCGAAAGGTCTCTGGAAAAGTACGTCGCATAACTGATTAGGACTTACCAGGTCCATCTAGGTCTGGAGAGATCTTGAAATACCTGTGTACGGCCAATCAGAACCAAATCCTCGACTCGTGGTATTGCAATAGAATTCGCGAAAAACGAATCAAATTTTCACTACCGATCTAACAGAATTTTCTAGTGAATGCACTACTATCTTTTTCTCTATAATAAAAAGGAGATGGCCAAAATGTGTCGCACGTTCATTTTTTTGGAATTTTTAAAATTTTTTCGCAATAATGAATCGGTGAAGCATCATAACTCATGATGATGCGGGCATGTTTGTTATCTCTCTCTAATACAAAGGCGATGGCCAAAATATGTCACGCGTTTATTTTCGTCTCTCTTTAAAATGAAAAGGATGCCAATACGAATATTTCTTATTGTTCAATGAAACTGTTCGATTTTGAGTTCAATTCTTCATGTCCATCCTCTTCATTAATGTCAATTGTATTAGAATGGAGAATTGTATTATATTGCGAAGCGCGCATTCGATCTCGTCGGGTTAAAAAGTATGGACCCCGAGCGCTGCGGAATTTTTCGGTATTAGGAAATTCCTTAACATCAATATCTTTTTTTTTCCTCAGAAATATATTCTAGGCACACCAAATAACCATATGAGAAAGATAAAGATAAATGCGTTGAGTCATTATCCGTTGTATGAACAACTTCCGCAGTTTAGGCCCCTGAGCCTATATTTTTTATGTCAATAGTAGGTTTTTCATTGAATTTTTCTAGGTGAATAAAACATGAATGAAGTATTCAACTTTGGCATAGGATTTTATTCAATAAATACACTTATTTCTGTAAGTCAGGAGTGCTGGGACCCATTTGTTCATTTTTTCGTTGCAGAATCTCTCTTCCAGGACTTCCTCATCAGTTCCATCCCCCAGGGCACAATAAGGAAGCAATTTGTGGCAATTAAGAATAGTTGACAGACTTTGAAGCTACCCGTCACGTCCTTAATAAAACCTATCGGCAAACAAGTATTTATCATTCATTCATCAATGAACATTGTGATCGAAGTACGTACCGAACAGAGGGCCACCAGAAATCATGATGAATCCACTGATTAATGAGAATATGCCATAGCATGCAGCATATTTTTCCACCGGATGATTCTCGACGATTACCAAGGGTTGCGGAACATACAGCCATGATCTAACAGTGCCTATCAGCACCGTTGAAACCATTATGCCGGTTAATGTATTTTCCAGGTGAAAATATGCTGGAAGAAAAATCGTCAATGAATAGCCCATGCAGCAAATGTTGACTGCTCTTCGGAGCTTTTATTGAAGCGAAACTAATTCGGAAGGCCTTCGAAAAGTCTCGGAAACAATAGATTCCTAGTACTAAAATAATCAAGTTATGATGGACTTACAAAAATTTACAACTATAAGATGAAAAAAAAGCTGCATGAGACAATAAATTTTCTGGTCCCGTAAAAACTAGAATATTGCTCATAACGACGATTAGAGACTGTCTTCGATAGAAGTTCCTTTTTTTGATTCGAAAACTCAAACGACATTACATCGAAAAAAACACTGGCCTCATTTTACCCCGCTGTCCATTTTGCCCCGGAGTCTCATTTTACCCCGGTCACCCCTATATAGTTATTGAAAAATCAGTTCCTTTGTAGAATGTCAATTGGAAAAGCGAATGTAATGAACATTATTGAAATCTATGAATCTATTGAATGAAAATTCAGGCAGTTACAAGGAAAAGAACACATCCATCCAACATATCCATAGTAAATTTTTCTTCTCATATACCTTTTCGGGTCTACGATTTGTTCCCTTCCCACCCCCCATCCCCCTGTACCGCATTCGCCGAAGGACAAGGGAAAACCTTATTTTGAGGGAAAAACCTGCCCAGGTACAGTCGTCTCTTGCGAGACTCCCGCTCGACACTGAAACCGTGAGATTTAGAGTGTCACATAGTGTCACAGCCACCGCCATCGGTGACATATCCATAGTATTGCATATATTTAGGATTAGGCAAGAGGATTCCCCGGGCAGCGCCGGAGGTGATAACAAGTAACGAATAATCTCCGCAGACCATGTGAGAGGGGTTTCCTTACCAACTTTGACACCAGCCATTGCAATAGTCGCGAAGAAGAATATCGTCTTAGCTCGAGCCTTCACGAATAGAGTGAACACCACCAGTATTATCCTGGATACTAGCTCAGCAGTGGCCCCTACGGTGATCGTCATAGATGTGTCAGCAGTCTTGTAGCCTCCCTCCAACATAGCCAGAGGTAGTAATGAGGAGAACGTGAAATCACTTACGAATACAAAACTCATTCCGAAACTCATGATCATGAATGTTCGGTCTTTGAGGAGTGATAATTCAAGCAGGTCTGACAGCATTTTCCTGAAATATTGGAAAACAGCGTTAATAGATGATGATTTCACGAATGAAAATGGAATCCAAGATGCGGATTATCTTACAGAGTTGAGAATTCTTCGCCTTCGGTTTTATTTTGACTCTTGTCCTTTGTAATCAGATCTTTTTCCTCCTCGAGTTTCTGCTCAGTCTTCTCACCATGGTGGTCGCTGATGTGCTTCGGTAAATGTTCCGTGCGCTGTTTGACCTCCGCCAGAGCACCGGCGATGCTCCCGATGCTGGAAGCCGAGGGTGCTGAGAAGGTCTGTTGCAGTGGCAGCTTCGGTCTACCGGAACCCGATTTCGATCTTGGACGGAAAAGTCCACCCTCTCCAGCAGAATAGGTTCTCTCTGCTTGTTCCTTAATGTTTAATTTTGATAGTCAATGTATTTAATTTTCTGAGTTGATGGATAGAGTAGTGGAAGAGGGTTATCTACGATAATTTCAATCAATTTTCTCTTCCTAATAGAGGAGCGCACGAGACTCAAACGAGATTTCACTTTGGAGGGATCGTCTGGCTCTAAAACAACATGGGAATTTTCGGAACTGTCTCAATTTCAAAGGGCACAGTATTGCCTCCACTTTTCACGACTCCAAGAGAATTTATTTCAGCTCGTTCTCTCTTTTTCCCTATTTTTTAAGTGGATGAGACCGAGATTGAGACTGAAACCGAAAAAACCGGAAAAAGTGGAGACTGTGACGAGACAAATTATCTCGAAGTCATGACCAGAGAAGAATATATTATGCCTTTTGAGACTGATTTTGGAAAAGTCACAAAAATTTCCATGTTTTTTTAGAGCACGACGATCTCTTCAAAGTGAAGTCTCGTCTGGGTCTCGTGCGCAACCCAATTTATAAATCTAAGCGAAATAGCTTGACATCTCTTCGATTCCGATTCATTTTCAACAAATGAGTCTTTAATAATCTGTTGGTCGCGCTAGATTTACGAACGTCATTGGTTGCGCTGAAAGATCTAGGAAAAATCTGAAAAAAAATCAACAGTGATCTAGATTGTACACTTGACGAAGTCCCATGGGATTCTTTCTCCTCAGTGTTACCTTTAATTATATATTCAAGCTCAAAGTTTCAAATGTATTTTTGAACATTTTTTCCTTATACACGGTGCAGGACTCGGAGTTTCGGAATGAAAATTCCAAAATCTTATAATATTTTCGGTGTAAATTTTCATTGATAGGGCGTCTAGACACTGCGAGATGAGATGTCAAAATTTTTCGAAATTATTCTGAGGCTTTACTACAGTGTTATTTTTAAAAAAAGGAAAAAGTGCGGCGCGGGGCTCATACCGCATTCAGTAGAGTGTTAAGTGAATCAATAGACGAAGATGAATTCAAGGAAATAACACATTCACTGATAATACAGCTGATAAGAGTGTATCAGATCTGAATATATCAAACCACACACACACTCATTCGTTTGAGGAAGAGGAAACAGAGCTGAGAAATTAAACACTAATGTGTTACTATATTTGTCTCATATTTGTCAGATAGTCCAATAGGTAAATATTGAGGTTTAAATGGAAAAATTGAAGTATTTTGACGTAAATTAAGTCGGAACCTGGTGTCTATAAAGAATTCAACTTTTTTGAGACATCACACTTATTTGCATACATCTTTACAATCCTTTCCTTCTGACAGCCATTTTTTCAATTTCAACTTATAAGATTTTCATATAAATTCAACGTGCAGAGATGCACTTTATCTAGAGTCCGCGATGGGGATGCAGCTGATATGAACCCCATAAAGGATGGAAAAGAAATATTGGTTTTGATCTGATCATCACGTATGAAAAAATCCTATAGGATTTCCTATAGGATTTCCTATAGGATTTTCTATAGGATTTCCTATAGAATTCACTATAGGGTTTCCTATAGAAAGTAACACACAAAATTGAGACTCGAAACCAATCGGTCACAAGGGTCAGGATGAGGGTCATAAATCCGATAGGAAATCCTATAGGAAATCCTGTGGGAAATCCTATCAGAAGAATCCTATAGCAAATGTTCGAATTCTCCATAGGATTTCCATAGGAAATCCTATAGCATTTTTTCATACGTGATCTTCTTCAAATTGTTCATCTAATTGAGAATGACTCAAATTCGTTATTAATTTCAATTTTTTTTTGTTCTTTCATATACCCTCTCGGGTGTTTACGATCTACGATCTGTGAGAATTAGAGCTTTAAAAAACCATTTTGCCACCTGCCGCCTGCATGGGATTCGAACGCGAGTCATCCGCGTGCCAACACGGCTTTCTAACACAACGCATCTCCGTCGGTCTTATTGATTTCAATTATTATTGCTGTTAAATTGAATAATAACTTGGTTTCATCTGAAAATTTATGCGAGTCTTTCCAAGCGACAAATATTCCGCATATCTCGAATGAAAATATATCTACTCCACATAATTATGGATATATTGTATAATAGATCTCACATATAGGCTCGGTTGCACCAAGCCCTGTTATTCAAATAAACCCCAGGGTAAAATTTATCCTCGGGGTCAACTATATCGCAGGGGTCGTAATTTTTCAATATTTGACATGAAGAATAATTTTTTATTTATCCTGTAGCCCCTTGTGAATTGACACTGATTTAACCTTGGGATTAAATTCAATTTTTTGTCCCTGCGATAAATTTAAGATACTCTCCCGGGTAAAATAATCTATTGAACATCCAAATTTACTTTTTATGTTATCAAACGTTTTCGTTACACGGAGCTGGTGCAACCGGGCCATGACAAATATTCCGCATATCTCGAATGAAAATATATCTACTCCACATAATTATGGATATATTGTATAATAGATCTCACATATAGGCTCGGTTGCACCAAGCCCTGTTATTCAAATAAACCCCAGGGTAAAATTTATCCTCGGGGTCAATTATATCGTAGGGGTCGTAATTTTTCAATATTTGACACGAAGAATAATTTTTTATTTATCCTGTAGCCCCTTGTGAATTGACACTGATTTAACCTTGGGATTAAATTCAATTTTTTGTCCCTGCGATAAATTTAAGATACTCTCCCGGGTAAAATAATCTATTGAACATCCAAATTTACTTTTTATGTTATCAAACGTTTTCGTTACACGGAGCTGGTGCAACCGGGTCATGCGCAGAATTCATATTTATTAGCAACAAAAGGGCTGTTATGTTGAATCTCATAGATGTCATATATGTATATACCCAACGGAAAAAAACTTCAGGAAAAATTACGTGACAAAACGTAAAAGTGATGCGAAATGCTCTTTCCAGAATTTTTAACGTCAAATCTAGGAAAAAATCTGGAGCGACAAGTAAATTTTCCACCTTGAGTTCTGGAAATTTTATGGATCGAAACGTAATTTTGACGTGATTTAAAATATATCTTAAGCAGTAAGTGACATTAAATGGATTAAATGGATGATCCACGTCCAATTACCTTGAGGGTTTCTATTAAAATCGATGAATGATGTTGACCAGACTCCTTACACCTGAGATTCTCCAGACTGTTCCACCGACCAGTTTCCAGACTCAAATTGATATCCCCCAACGTAAATCTCCGATCCTTCACTAGCGCGTGGTTAAACTTATCACTGACACCGGAATCATGGGAAAATTGTTCTGCCCGCAATTGTCGCCTCTCCTCACGCACCTCCTCAGGATTTCGCAAGTGCCACTCAACTGGGTGCATCAGCATCATCCCGAGAATGCTATTGAGACTCATCGCACCGACGAGTGCAGCAGTCCCTTTTAATAAAAAATGTTCATTATTTTTAAAATTCAACTCTTGATGATTGGGGTTTGATTAACGTTGATACCTCGAAATCCATACGTCTCCATCATGTGGCCTATCCAAATTGGATACACTATCGATCCAATACCAACCACAACTTGGGCAGCGCTCATTACCTGAGGTGAGAATAAATTGAATTAAGAATAATCTATTGAAATGTTACAAAGTAAAAATATAATTGCGTATTTTGTGTATTCCGTTGGAGCTGTCGCTAGATCCGTTTATAGTGAGTTATTTTATGTTATAATGTATATCATGTTGTTAGGTATATTTGTTTTATGTTATTTTGTACTTTTTCCGGTAAATGTTGAGAAAGAGGGCCCCACTACTGATCCGATGGTTAAGTTTTCAGAAAGATCCACATAATTGTGGATATATTGTATAATAGATCTCACATATATGCAAATTCATATTTATTGGCAACAAAAGTTCTGTCATGTTGAATGTCAAATATGTCATATATCCACAAAGAGAAAAACTTCGGGAAAAATTACGTGACAAAACGTAAAAGTGATGTGGAATGCTCTTTTCGGAATTTTTAACGTAAAAGCTGGGAAAAAATCTGGAGCGACAAGTCCGATCCGATGGTTAAATTTTCAAGATCGGTGGTGGGGCCTTCTTTCTTAACATTTACCCTTTTTCCTGCACGGAGAAAATTATTTGGTGAATTTCAACAACTGGTTGTTCACAGTTTAAAATTTTTGTCTGTAGTTTCCGTGCCAAATTCCGGAAATTGTGTTCCACTGGAATTTCAGGAAATCTTGTCATTGAAAAATCAAATATTCCATTGTTATTTTTTTCAAATGATCTAAAAACAATAAAATACTTGATTATTCCGGTCAATTATTCTATGAAAAACCAGGAAAATTCAGGGAAAAATTGACAATCCATGTCATTTGGTTTCTGAATCTTCATGTTCCACTGAAAATTTAATCTAGCTGTGAAATTTCCATCTCACTCCCGCTGAGAACTTATGAATTTCAGTGAATTCTAATTGAAACTTGAATTTTTATAACTATTCTTCTCCTAAATCCGATACAACCCCTGTAGAAATTCAAGCGGAGGTGCGGTTGAACCTCCACTCATGCGCTTGAACCGATCGCTGAGCCCCGGCTTGACTATATAGCAAGTTTTCTCCGTGTCTTTTTGAACGAGAAGTAGGTAAGCGTCTTGTTTCCAGAACTAAAGTACTGAGTTTAAGAACCTCGTGATTCTAAACATGTTACTGATAATAAGGAGTTGATACGTAATTTTAGTAAAAAAATCACTAAAATTCAGTACCAAAAACCTACTGAATTTCAGTGAGAAAAGTCCTTGGATCAAGAACCGTTGGGGCATTTAAATGTTACGTTACGCGATGAGGAGGGGGAGGTTTGGTAATTTATGACAATTCACGACGAAGAGGGGAGGGGGATCGCCTTGGTCGCGATTGTCACACCATAATTAACGAAGATAATTTGAGAAGACAAAGGTTTCCATTTGACGTAAATTACGTTCATATAATCGTTATTCACACTTCAACTTTGAGCGTAAAATACGCTTTAGAAGGCGTAAAAGACGACTTCTTGAAGGTAATTAACGGTTAGGTTCTTCTGTGGGTACAGTTATTGATCCCGTCACATCAAAAATTGAAACGCGATTGATAAAAAATTCAAAATGATTCCATGATTTTCTCTTATCATTCATTTGCAACATTCATTGAATTTTTTTTTCTATGCATCAATGATTGCTATAATGCATTCCTGAGTGTATGAAATGTATTTAATTTCATTCTTTCATTTTCGCATTAAATGTGGAAGTCCGTATGAAGGGACCACTTTGTCGATTCTAGTTTTCAAGATATTCACATTTCTGTCTCAGCAACTCCCATTTACATCAACGTTGAATTGTTTTTTTCATCTTCTCTGGCGACGTCATTGTTGACCCTATGAGGATCATTTCGGGCTCAAAATGTGCGGAATGTTATAAATATTATCAGAGTATACATAACTCCATATCGACAAAGTGGTTCCTTTTCATGGGGACGTCCACAAATGATAATAAAGTTTTCATAATTTGTGGACGTCCGCATGAAAAGGGACCACTTTGTCGATATGGTGTTATGTATACTCTGATAATATTGATAACATTCCGCACATTTTGAGCCCAAAATGATCTTCATAGGGTTAAAAATGACATCGTTGGAGAAGATGGAAAAACCATTTAACATTGGTGCAAATGGGAGTTGCCGACACAAAAACGTGAATATCTCGGAAACTAGAATCGACAAAGTGGTCCCTTTTCATGTGGACGTCCACATTTAGTATTCATAGTTTTGCATAAAGAAAAGGATCAGCGTGCGTTCTGTGTAATAATCTAGAATGAGAAGCATGATTCCTCCTTCAACTCACTATAGCCCTCTTCTTAACAAAGTACGCATAAAAATTGGCGTTCAAGATGGTGTAAACAAAGCCGGCACCGGCTCCCTGCACAAAGGAGATGAGAGCCATCTCATAAACGTGAGTGACAAATGCCAACATGACGTTGGGAATGGAGAACACCACAGCTCCCGCGACCCCGATACTTCTCATCGGATACTTTTTCAGTAGAACATTCGTCAGGAGCCCTAAAATAATATCAAAAACATTTTTAGATTTCCAAATCCCCAACAATCTCTCCTTCCGCATCATATGAGTTTGTTCACGGATTGAACAGAATTACCATAAGAATGAAGAAGAGATAAGGTAGCTTTGTTGATTCAAATATTAGAGACCTTGAAGCGCTAATGTGAGGGTAATGAAGTTTAATAAAATGAGATAAATATCAATGCTTACCTGAGAGTGAGTAACTGATCATGAAGACAGAATTGAGAAATGTCATAACCGAGCCACCTTGGCCTGTTGACTCGAAAAATTCTCCAAACATAATAGCGAAGCATGGTGTAGAGCCGAAAATCGTCACCTATTTCAAATTATATTTCAGGTGTTTACACTGTTTGAAAGAAAAGCAAACTCCATGAATAAGCTGCTAGTAAACTTCATAACAGTGACATTGAATTTGATTTGGGGGAAAAACGATGATGAAATTTCAAGCTTTTGGTACACTGATAGAACGGATTAGTTATTTTTAACGAATGGATTTTGGTTGAAGGTTAAGGTCTATTCGGTCTCACCAAATGTTCATTCTTTAATAGTTAACGAATGTATATTTGAGGAGCCTTTTTTGACTTGACTTTCGCCATTCAAGTGAATCATTCGTTAACTATTAACGAATATTCATTTGGTCATATTCAACTCTACCATTCGTTAATAGTTAACGAATCTCATTTGGAATAAATGAATCATTCTATCAGTGTAGAATTTAAGGTAATTCATGAATTGATTCAATGGAAGATTAATTAAAGTTAATAATAAAAATTATAAGTTACAGTTCATTATGGATTACTTTTTTTCAAGTCAATTTTGAAATATCTATCCCAAATTCTCAGGGCTCTCTATCCGTAATTTTTAGGGATTCTTAACTGGATTGACCATGCAACTTACACGGAGAGAAATGTTCAGTAAAAATTACGGAACTCCCAGTATCGCAATTTTTCACAGGAGATTCAGGTAAAAATTATGGAACGTTCTAAAAAAATTCCGTGATTTTAAATAAAAATTGCGTGACAGTTCCGTAAAATTTCCTACAACCACATTTCGCTCCGGAATTACGGAAACGATACGTAATTTTTATTGAATATTTTTCGCCGTGCAGAGATTAACTGACACGCATGAAAAAATTCAATAGAAAACCTAGCGAATTCGCAATTTGTTCGCAAGTGCAATTGTTGAAAATTACGAGTATTTTCTATAAATAATTTTTAAACAATCAATTTTCACCATAAAAATCATTTGTTCCGAATCGTAACAAATTTATTCATATTCAGACTTTCACCAGAAACCGATTTCATGCCTGAAAAAAATAAGGTTTCCGAAAGTTTAAACAATTTTAATTATTTATTTATAAACAACGAAGGGTTAAAAAGGCGATAATTCTGTGCAAAATGTCATTTTAATGACACTGAATATTCATGATTTTTTAGAATTTTTCGTATTTAATTTAATTGGCAAATTTGATAACTGAAAATGGTTGAAGCTATACACTGAGAAAAAAATTTATTCCTCCCAAGAAAATGTTATTGGTGATATCTTTTTCATACTCTTAGTAGAAGAAAATATCTCTTTTGGAACGTATTTCTCCAGGCCAGTCATTTCCAGGTGCTCCGAAATCATTTCCAATCGTGAGAATTATGGTGATCTATAAGAATATTCTTCTGCATATGACCTCGAAGAAATTCCAATAATAATTATTAACATTTGGAATTATTCCAATTTTCTTTACTTGAGAAAATCGCCAATTTGTAAAATCTGGAAGATATCGGAGAACATTTTGTCAAGGTCATATGTAGCATAATAATCAGATTGTTCAACATCACTGTAATTTTTGAGGATAGACTTGGACTCTCTGAAAATGACTGTCCTGGAAAAATTCGTTCTGAAAAAATATTATCTTCTGACGAGAATATCAATCCCTGGCAGGAATAATTTTTTCTCTCAGTGTAGTGAGGTCTCCACCAAACTGTAAAAAATATTTGGATATTCTTAACATGACCCAGGATTTGCGACTGGGACGCAGCTGGTATAGACACCAAAAAGTCGCAAAATGTAAATCCGTAGATGGTATGAATATATAAGAATACGAATAAAAAGAAATTCAAGTATTTGTAGCCCTCCAAGTATACCGAAACCGTTCAATGGAATGCTTGATTGAACAATAACTGAACTCAACTAAAAACTTTCAGGATTTTAGACGGACAATTTACACAAAATATTCTGTATTATCCCTGGGCTACTTTACTCGGTCAAACCTTGCATGTTTTTAAGGTCCAAATTACAAAATAATAATATAATAATAATATTATATATAATATATATAATATTTTACCCGGTAAATTATTTTACTGGGTAAAATAGCGCGGGGATAATACAGAATATAAATATACCGGTCGAAAAAACATCTCTCATTGCAATTTATAAAAAAAATTTCACCAATGTATTCTTGAGGGGATTCCCTTGCTAATAATATTAGCTTGCTAATAGCTCAGACTAGATATCTATAGTGTTCTCTGCATATGGTTAAAATTGTTCCAATCGTTTTGTGAAAAATTTCCCAAGACCATTTCCCTTTCTTCCAGATTTATTCCGCATTTTGATTGCATTAAAAATCGATAAAGACGAATGAAAAGAGGATGATTATCACAATGCTATCAAGGTATTACGTTTATTCTGTGAGACCTACTTTTGCCATTGACCGTTATCATCTCAGATTAAGTATTTTTCAGTGGAAAACCAATTGATGACAGACGCATATCAAAACAAATGGTTTTTCGCCGCTAGTGGTCATCGGCCATTCTCGAACAATAAAAATGCCCATAATTACACTGTCGCTTTATAATTTACAATATTATTATGTGGAATTGAATTGGAAATGGTACTTCCAGCGTTAATTATCTGATACGTACTGATAATTCTGGGAAATCGATTGTCATGCACAACAAATGTGGGGACTTCAATGATAATGTGAATTTTCTAATTCATGTTTAAATAAGACTATTGTGTTATATTCAATTTTGAATATAATTAAATTCAAAGTGACAAGTTATATTGGTGTTTAATGTTGATCAATTATCGTCGGATTTTCCAGGAGATGTAAGGTATATCCCTTGAAAACAGGATATATAATTTTTATAATAGTCCCCAGCAATTGAAAAACAATCTAACTAGTTATACTAAACACTTTAGGAGATGATAAATAATGAAATCCGGGCATCTAACACGCGAGGCATAGTCCCAACGGGGGTTATTTTCCATCTTATGAGAAAACGGTTCTTACGATAATCTTAAAGAACTAATCCGTGATAGATTGATAAATTCCGAATACGGTGAATTTTTGTAAAATTTTGTACTACATAGTTTCGGCGATATTCAACTCTAAAAAACAAAAATTTCGTGAAAGCATCTCTTATTTGCTTCAGTTATTGTTGCCTACATCAACAATACATGAGGATAGAAAAACTCAATCACTTATGCGAATGCTATAAATTAAGTTATTTGGATTTTTCTTGTGGAAATCCATAGGGACTAACTTTTAGGTCCGATTGTCTTGGGATATACATTAAGGATATTGAAGTACTTTGGTTATTTTTTCGCCAGTGAAATACTTTTGTACTTTTGGGGTCGAACACCAGAGCTTTCATTTCAGCCCCATTTGACCCTAACTTTCCAGAAATTTTACAATGATTTTATTATTTAAACTTTGCAGGTCTGACTTTGAATCTCGATATTGAACTGTTAGAAAGCATTTTAAAAATCTGAAAAACAATTGGAAAGCTTACGTTTGGAGGAAGATTGATGGAATAATTTAAAAATTGCAAATTTTTAAAATTACGAGCATTTTTTTAAATCTTTTTTTGTAAGATAAGGTTTCCGAAAGTTTTACAAATGGCAATTGGTTATTTATGAACAACGAATGTTAAAAAAATAATAATTCTGTGCAAAATATAATTTGAATGTAGCTGAATATTCAGGATTTTTTCTCACGTAATTTAATTGACAAATTCAATGATTGACAAATGACAAATCCAATAATTTAATATAATTTCTTAAAACTGTTTATGAATTACACACATTTCATATCCTGAGCTCATATGAAAAACACAACCGATACGTGAGTTTCGCAAATCGTACCCCACATGTTATTGTATTGTGGCGACAGCCAACTTTGAATACGAATAAATGACATAAAAGGGAGTGAAATGAATTATAATTCCTTACAAGAACGAGTATCATCGCTAGTGCCACCATCCACCCCCATCCCCCATCAGGCGCCAGATCCTCAAGTGTCAGCTTCTCATCATCATCGTCTGCAACATCCCCAGGTTCACGTATTCTATTTCCAATTTTCTCCCGATTCTTATCCTTTCCTTTATTGGCATAATCTTCAGCACCAGCCGAAGAGATTTCTACCATATTCACGTTCACAATATTTTTCCGACTTCCACAAATGAACGTATTGTTCTGATTTACATTCAACTACGGGCAAACTAGCAGTCGATAATGACTCTGATTTCCACTTTGAGTCAATAGACATAAACTGATAATGAGAAGTCAGTACCTTCAGTTTTATGGATGTTCGCCGTTGCGAGTGCGATGGGAACGGTATGAGGTGTGAATGGTGGCGTTAGACGATTGACACGGATGGTGCCTTATCTGAGTGGTTGATATTTTAGGCGCTTGCTGGGTATTTGTTTCTTCTCACTGGCAGGATGAATTATTGCTATCATTTATGATCACTGAGCATATCATCAAGGGTGACGAGTTTTCCTAAACATTCCACGCGTAGGTTTACGCTTCATTGTATTGTGAGTTTCAATGTTCAATGAATTGTTTCACACACTGTAAGTGGTTTTCACATTTACATATAATCCATTATTGTTTACCTATTTGTAAAATGCAATACGTGAATCATCATTCAGTGGAACTTTTTCATTGCATGGGAAGAAATTTAATAACGTACACTGAGAGAAATATCGTAATAATATCATAAAACTAATTTCTTGCGCCGAATATCTCATATCTTGAGGATAAATTTCTTGGGGTAAGAATTCCGGATAATATGTCAGACAGTGTAAGATTTCGGTGAAGTGTTCATGACTTGAACATGTACATTTCATGATAAAGTGAGAATTTCTTGCCACACGGAATCGGTTTCTTCGTGTCAGAAGATGAGAAAATAACTGGAAATATTAAAAGCTTCGATTCAGTGGATCATGAATCAGAGACTTTTATATTGAATGAATAGAAAGTTTATGCAGAGGAAAACCTCCAGATATTAAAAAAATATAACCGTCGCTTACGCTCAATCGCTTTGAGTTCGAAGGGAAGCAATAGCTTCTTGTCCTTCTGTCAAACTATTCTTGTCTTTTAAAGAATATTGTCTCATTTAGGAAAAAGACATCACCTTTTCATTCAGTAACTGTCTCCTTAGCCCGAAGAGCACTGATTTCTTGTCTAAAACCTACCATAAATTGATCAAATATGCATGCGATGTTTTTCGCTCAAGAAATGATTTTTGTCATTGAAAATTCATAATTTTTTGGTAAAATCCGATTCTCGCAAAATTTATGAAAAATCAGGAAAATTCCCAGAAATCTCTCCTTGAATTACAGATTCCTTTAAATTTTCAGGGAATTCCTTCAAAATTCCGCAATTTTTCCATGGGTTTTTTCCTTAAGAAAAAAATAAATTGAGAAAAATGAAAATTTTCCGATTTTTCTAGAAAATTTGACGAATCGCTTCTATTTAGTAGAAGATAGAGGAGGGTGGGGTAAAATGGACACTTTAGGCTTTTTTAAAATTATTCATAACTCAGAAACAAATTTATCGATTGAGCTCAGTTTAGGCTCGTCGCAAAGTGAAAGGATTGTTCTTTGTATTAAAAAAAAAATTGAATTTCATCAACATTTCAACCCCTCATTAACATTAAAAAAAAAGTCATAAGTGTCCGTTTTACCCCAACCTCTCCTATATTTTTTTTCTATTTAGTAGAATATGTGTATCGTATTCTCTTTCTCGAAGAGAATGGATTTTCTTTCGTTACATCTTCGACATAACTCTAATAGCGTTTCACACAAAATTAATTGCCTTTATTTATTAATCCCCTTACGTTAGTGGCTCCGAGCTTTGCTTGATATGTATTCTTTCTGCTCACAGAGCAGTAAACATCCGAACAGTAGCCTCCGAGTTTGTTTCCGTATAGTCATTAGGATTACCGTACCATTGTCAGACATCATCGTGACGCATAAGTACACTGAGAAAAGAAAAGTTTTTGGTCAAGTACATGTTCACTTGTACCTCGAATCTCATAGCTGAAAAATTGATAAGAAAAAATATCCTACACTGAAAAAACACACTTCCGTCAAGAGATTTTGTACTTATCGAAAAGACGATGATAATTTGTTTATGACAAGGAACTGATTTCTCCATTCCTTGGTCTCTGCGTTGTTCTTTGAACAACTTTTATGATTTTTCAATTTTTTCAAATTTGAAATTTTCTTACGTAAGATAATTTGGAATAATTCTAAATGTTAATGATTGTCAGTGGAGTTCATTTAAGGTCGTATGTAACATAATCATCCCATAATTCAACATAATTGTAGTATTTGGAGATTCTTAGAGACTTGGACCACCTGGCAACAACTTACCTGGAGAAATACGTTCCTAAAAAAATTGATTGTTCTCAGAAGAAAATGATTCCTTAGCGAGCATTTTCTTTTTCTCACTATAGAAATAATTGAGTGACAAAAAAAATTACGTTTCAACGCGTAAGATTAAGTTTCCATCACTAAAATGTCTAGAACGAGAAGGAAAATCTCATTTTCCGCGTCGCATTCTTTCCGTGTTTTTAAATAAAAATTCCCGTAAAAACATTTTACCTCAGAGTTACGTTCGCTTAGGTACGTCTTCTCGAATTTTTTTCTTCGTGTACCCAACTCTATTGATAAAGTCATTCATTTTCATTGATATTATTCAGTAATACATAATTCGTTATTCTTGAAATTCAACCATTTTGGTAACATTATTAAGGTATTGCTACAAAGTGAGTGCAATGTCGTTACGAAGTAGGCAAAATAGAAGAATCAATAAAAAGAAGGTTCCGAGCGATGCCAAACGAATCTCCACTCGTCGGGACCATTAATCATCTCAAACTTATATCTCGCATCTATTTTGGATATTGATTTTTTACCAAAAAATATACCCTAGATATATTTCATGTATATGTTACATATCATTTAGCAGGGATCGGATTCAATCATGATTTTTATAATATTTTTGTAAGATTATGATAAGTTGTACCTTACTATAATTAAGGTTTACTTATCTTCATTGAAATTTGAATAATAATAAAATAATTGATACTTTAAATTTTCGATTAACTATGAATTCAGCAATTTATAATATGGAATTGTCAATTGACTATATTGAGTACATAATTTCAAATTTAATGAAAGGATTTCTCGATTAACCATATAATCGTCAATCTTTCAAACTCAATTATTGATTGATAAATCAATTCGGAATTTGAATATTCAATTGGTGATTGATTTAATAATGCAAAAGTTAAGGACATCCAAGCACTTTGGCTACTTTTTCTCCAGTGAAATGTTTTTCTACTTTTGTTGTCGAGCATCAGACAGATTTGAGCCCCGTTTGACCCTAAGTTTCCGGATATTTTACAATGATTTTATTATTTAAACTTTGCAGGTCTGAATTTGAATCTCGACATTGAACCGTTAGAAAACATTTTAAAAATCTGAAATTAAATTAGAAAGTTTACTTTCGCAGGAAGATTGATGACATGATTAAAAAATTGCAATTTTTTAAAATTACGAGCCTTTTCTATAAACAAATTACAAACAATTCATTTTTTACCATAAAAATCATTTTTTCGGAATCGTAATAAATTTCTTCATATTCATAATTTTACCAGAAATCAAATTCATACCTAAGAAAATAAAGTTTCCGAAAGTTTAAACAATTTCCATTATTCAATTATAAACCATGAATGTTTATTTATTTATTTCATCATATGTATACCCTCTCGGGGCTTTACATTTTGTTCCCATCCCTACAATGAAACTCCGACAGAGAATTACACTTAAAAATTATTAAACTAAATTAGGTCAAAGTAAATTATATTCAATTTAGTTGTGCTTGGCACAAGTTCTAGATATATAGATACAAAGTTTGCACTTAGTAATAGCAGGGTACTGTATTTTTTATATCACAGTAAAAATCTTATTTTTCATTTTTTAAGTTTTTGAAGTTTTTGAATTGAACTGACTGTAATGGTTAGGTGGGTGAGGTGTTGCTCGCGCGGACATCCAAGCTAAGGAGCGTTGAGCTGGGTTAGTACTTAGATGGGTGACTGCTTAGGAACACCTCGCTCGCACAAAAATTACGGGCGGTAGGCACGGTCTAGCGGCCTAGTGTCTCCATCTAGTCAGTGTGACAGATGGATACATTAGGGCACTGCACAATCGGCCGGCTGTGCGACTGGGGTTNAATTTTTTAAATTTTTTAAATTTTTGTCAAAGCTCTTGAACGACTAGCGTCGCTATTATAAAATCCTTAAATGAGTTTAACAGCTGAAAGAATGTCTGAGAACACGAACACGAACAAGAAAACAAAAACTATGAATGTTTAAAAAAATGACAATTGTGGGCAAAATGTTATTTGCATTTCATGATTAAAAAAAAAAAATTCTCACACAATTCAATTGACAAATTTGATGATTGAAAATGATTGAATCTATAGTGTGGTCTGTACCAAGTAGTAAACGATACTTGAATATCCTTAACTTAATTTGAAATTGATGATTGTACCGATGTCTGTAATTTAGGTATAATCACCGAGGATATATTTTTTCCGTACGGACGTCCACTACCCGCATCAAATCAAGACAGTTCCACTCCGAGTTGTTTTGAAGACAGACTTACTCATCTCTCAAGTTATCGAACTCGTGACGTTTTGATAAACCCCCTAAGGTGAATCATGATTGCTCCATGACCCAGAAATTGGAAAAGTACCACCGGATCAACTGTGGAGCGGACTAGAATATGTTAATGAAACCAGGAATTCCATAAACGTAATCAGTGATAAAGTATCGTTGCTAATGGTGGATTCTAAGCGATAAGTGGGCTCGACACTCGCGAGCAAACATTCGATTACTCGGATTTGTACATCGTGAATGACAGGAGGATCTTTACAACCTCAATATTTGATTTTTTCCCGACACTCTGTCAAGGCAGTTGGTGTGACGTGCTACCGGGGGGATTGATGTTGTGAGTGAGCGTGAAGTTGTGAAATTTTTTACGTTCAACTATGAAGAGGAGGAAGCAGGACGGAAGTGAGGACAAGCCGGAGGCCCCGGACGGTGGCTGGGGATGGTTTGCGTGTTTGGGAAGCAGTCTGATTACGGTAATATCCACGGTGGTTTGATCATGCGATGCATTTGCAAAGCTACGCTGTTAGAAATTTTTCGAAATTTCATGGAAAATATAGGAGAAATTCTCGTGAGAATGGCATGGAATCCGATTTAAGGGAAAAATGGTTATGAAATTTCGAGCTTTAGGCAGAATTCAAGGTAATCCATGAGTTTTCAGGGAAGTGAGGCGGAAATTTCATAACTTGACTGAATTATCAATGGACCATGGATATTCAGAAATATTCAGAAATTTCGTGGAAGATATTATAGTACATCTTATGAGAGTAACATTGAATCAAATTTAGGGAAAAAATGGTGATGAAATTTCAAGTTTTAAGTAGAATTCACGGAAATTCACGAGTTTTCAGTGGGAGTGAAGTGGAGATTTTACCACTTGATTGAATTTTCAGTGGAACTTGAATATTCAGAAACAAAACGACATGAATTTTTAATTTTTCCCTCAATTTTCCTGAATTTTCACAGAACAATTGAGCTGCTAAATCGAGTATTTTATCGATTTCCAGATCATTTGAATAGAAAATCAATGGAATATTCGATTTTTCAATGACAAGATTTCCTGAAATTTCAGTGGAACTTGAGCACAATAAAAATTTTCGGAATTTGGCACAGAACATTCAGACGAAAATTTAAAAAAAAATTTTTTTTGTGGTTGAAATGAAAAATCTAGAGTTTTATTGATTTTAGATCATTCAAACAAAAAATCAATGGAATATTTTATTTTTCAATGAGAAAATTTCCTGACATTTCAGTGGAAATTATACATGATCAAAACTTCCGGAATTTGACGCGGAAAATTCAGACGAAAAATTTTAACAGTGTAGAATGCCATTATTCACAGAGAGGTAAAAGTTTTGATTTTTAGCGAGATGTCACTGATTTTCAGGTACATGTCACTAATTTCCAGTGACATCAAAATTGTTGGGAATCTATCATCAAATTTCAGTGATAACATCCACTGATAATACGAGTCATTCTCGTCAGTGTCTAATATCATCATTAACTGCTCATAGATTTATGAAAATCAGTGACATTACTCTGAAAAATATACCCAGAAAAATTGTTCATTTGAATTAACTAATCTTTATTTGAATCAAATAAATCCTCTATTAATTCGAGTAAATGATTAATTTGCTTCTAATAAAGTTCATTTAATTCAAATAAACCATTTTTCCGTCTGTAATGATGATATACCTGAAAATCAACGACATATCCCGGAAAATCTGAACTTTTTTTTCTCTGTGTGGATAAATTTCGTTGTTTCGGAGAACGGAAATAATTTTTGCTTATGGAACTGTAGCTCTCGTTGAGGTCCTTGGACCCTTCGTTCGGGCTTATCTTCGATGACCTTCTCACTGACCTCAAGATTGATTCAACGAAGGCTTCTGTTATTCTCAGTGTTTTGGATGCATGTTGCAATTTTTCAGGTAATTTCAGTTGTACTATCACTCGGCATACCCAAACAATAATCAGTTTTGATCAAATGGATTAAAACATATTTTCAATATCTTTTAAAAATTTGATAAAATTTTCTACCTGTAGTGATTACGGAATTATGTTCAGGTGAATCGTCCATTATTCGGATGCATAAGATTTGAGAAATATCCGTGGTGCAAAATTTTAAAACCTAGGCATTTTTAAAAAATTATCCCCGAAATTTCAAGTGAGGAATTTTGAAATATTCAATGTCTAATTTGTATGAAGTTTTCCTGTGTATTGTTTTAATGACAAATCAGTGTAATATCTGGAATAATCTGAAATATCATATATCAAAAAATTCAATAGAAAAACTTAGTGAATTCGTTAGGAAATTCTATTGGAACTCTCTAGAAATTCTATTAGGATTCTAGTAAAGTTCTAGGGAATTGTCAATGAAATTTCAATTTCCAATCTGTTGAAAATTCAATTTAGTGTTCAATTTTCACAATGAGCTTGAGAATTCAAGCTGTTATTGAAATATTCATCATCGCCTCAAATGTAATACTCAATTTTATTGAATTTTCACGATGAATAAAAAGGATTTCATGAACGATTTGATTTTAATTTGAGTTCAAATTTACAACATTGAAAATCTAAATGCAGTTGCTTCTTAAATTTTAAGAAAATTCTAACACACGCAAAAAAGTATGTTGAATTCACTTGACGATTTTTTTATGCACGGAGATAGAATATTCAGTAAAAATTACGGAACAATTCACGTAATCCGCAATGAGGAATCGTTTTCCGGAATTTTTTATAGGAATAGACGAGAAGAAATCTGAAACGTTCAGTGAATTTTCAGGTTCATCACCGAACAAAGTACAAAATTGTCACATACTTTTTTCCGAAGAAGTGAAATCTTACAGAAACTTCTCGATTTATTATGCTGCCAAAATAAAAAATTCGTTATCGTTCAACAATTTTTATGAAGCTGGTGAGATATTTCTACGTTCCGTTCCATAAAATTTCTCAATCGTTGGGGAAAAATTACGGAACGACTTGTTGTCCCCACAGAGGTGAGACATCAGACAGGTGGTTAATTTGTATGGAACAAATTATAGAATTTACATGGCGATTCATACAATACAATACAACAATACAATTCATACAATTTCAGTTCGGACTCACACTTTTTATTGAATTTTACTTCGCTCGCGGATTACCTTTCGAAACATAATTTTTGCGTTTTTTTTCTCGTAATTTTTATTGAATTCTCTCTCCGTGTGATTGATTCGATTTATTTAACGATTCACCCCATCCAATGGATTCACTTCACTTACTGAATTATACTTCGCTCGCGGATTACGTTTCGAAACGTAATTTTTACGTTTTTTTCTCGTCATTTTTTTTTTTTTCAATTCCGGCCCTTTATGCCCTCTGATTGGCTAATCGGCCCTATCCAACCCTATGCATGCGGCTGTGGATTCTACACTGCACCGCATTCGCACTCCTATAGAACATAGGAGTAGCATGGGAAACCACAGAAAACCCATGCCGGTACAGGCGGTCACTATATTAGCGACCTCCCGCTCGCCGGAGCCTCCGGTTGAAAAACTCGGTTCCACGGGGAATCGAACTCACAACCTTTCGCACACTAGGCTCGCACCTAGCCGCTTCGGCCACCGACGTCGGTCATAATTTTTATTGAATTCTCTCTCCGTGTGATTGATTCGATTTATTTAACGATTCATCCCATCCAATGATAATTAATCATCAATCTGTTTTTGCTATTCAGGACTATTCGTAGGACCTCTACTCACTAGATACTCATTCCGAACCGTCGCAGCGTTCGGCTGCACACTCTCCTGCGTTGGGTTGATGCTCACAGCCTTCGCTAATAGCTTCTTACATATTGTAATTACCTACAGTATTCTAACCGGTAGGTAACTTCCTCTTCACCCAATACAATTGCAATTCCATAGATCATCGATGTAATCAAATATAAATGTTCTGCTCAAAGGCGTAGGAACTGGTTTGGCTGTCGCCGCCGCGTTTGTAGCACTTAATTCGTATTTTTCTAAGAAACGCGGACAAGCCGTGAGTTTTTCATCTGCTGGAACGGCACTTGCTATGATGGTAGTGCCACAAGTGAGTTGAAATATAAATACTGATTTTTAAGGTAGGAAATGACGTATGTAAAGTCATTAGAAAATTTGGCGCTTTCGTTGGGTAATGCTATTGTTTTTTGTGGATTTCTATTGGAAAACACAGAGAGAAAAACAAGTTTCTGGTTTCCAGCACGACGATATTTAAATCAAGAATCCTGGGTTTTTGAAATAAGAACCATTGGGGGCATTCGAATATTGTTTCACGAGATTGAGAAGGAGAGGTTCTGCAATTTGTGACAATCCGTGACGAAGCGGAGAAGAGGTTGCTTAACCCTCCGTTACTCACGTCCACGGCACCGCGCCCGTAGAATTCTCGTTTTTAGTATAACTTCCAGAAAAACTCATTAAAAAAGATGAAAAAAATTATATGCCTCACCGATTTCATCTGAAAGTATATTCTGCCATTTCCAATCACAGCCGAAGCCCCTGATTAGAAATTCCTTCTTATCCTAACTCACGGAAATATTCCACACGGCGTTGCCACACTTGCGGCTGCCGGGAGATCAGAAGAGTGGAAACACCTCCGCGCGATTCAACTCTCCGAATGAATTGTGGCAACCGCGCGCTCAGATTTACATTACGGCGCGGTGCCACGCGAATAACCACGTCGGGCAGTTACATGCGAGTAACGAAGGGTTAATTTGTGATGTCACACTATAATTAGTGGAGATAATTTGAGGAGACAAGAATATCAATTTGAGAACCTCAAGGTTTATATTTTAAAAACCCTGCCGAGTTTTCAAAATAAAAACCTTGAAGTTGTTGAATTGGCAAGTTTCTGTGAGCACTTTCAGTAGCCAATGGTTCTTACACTCAGATAATTCATTTAAATCCAATGAAAATCTTTATTTAAAATTTTTTACTTGTTTCAAGAACGTCGTTGTTTGAAATCAATAAAGTTGTTTACTTTTTGCAAAAGAAACGATTTAATTATATCAAATAAACAATTTATACATTTGAAATCGAGAGTTTTCTTATTTTCAGAAAATCACATTTTCATGTATTTTGTAAAAGAAATTCGAAATTATGGAGTGGCGAAAAAGTTCGCTTCAATTTGCCCTATTCTCCCCTCATTATTATTGCATTTTTCTCTTTCAATTTTTATCGAGTCCATTTCAATCCCGTAGCGATAATGAATTATTAGTATCAAATAAATTTTCATCAAGTTCGAAGAAAAAATGTATTTAATTCAAATAAACAAATTTTCTTAACATAAAAATCTTTATTTATTACTAATAACGAATTAATTTGAAGAATTTTTTGCTTTTTTCAAATACTCCTGACCCCGCAATAAAGCCATAATTAAATAACTTATTCTGTTTCGAAGTTCTTTCCCTCGGAATGGGTCATACAAAAAAATGAAGATCTATTGACTTTTATATATCAATTCCTTGTCAATGATTTCAATAGAATATAATAGAAATGCAACAGAATTTCGAATCAACGAAAGCGCTGAGTCTTTCTACTTAATTGTTTAATACGTAATAGCAGATGTATCATTACAAATTCCTCGTTCTAAAAAACTATGATTTTTTTAGGCAGCACATTTCCTCCTCGGTCTCTACAAATTCCGAGGAACAATGTTAATCATTGGAGCGTGGTCAATGCATTCGATCGTTGGTGCCTGTTTACTGAGACCGCTGATTCCCAAAAAATCCCCCAGAAAAACTCCAATCATTAAGGTAGGCTCTCTGATTGCAGAGCATTCTATCAGTTCTTATCAGTAAAAGTGACAAAAAAACACGATTGACGCACGCCGATCGATCTCCTCATTTCATCAAACAAAACTACTTTGCGTAATAGGTACTAGACAGAGATCACGTGGATCCTGAAAAAAAGGCGAGCGAGGGTGAGGCATTACTAATCAAGCAAACAAATCAAGTTGATGAGAGTGATGGGAAGCAAGAGAATGCGACTGAACCATTCTCCAGTGGGGACGAGGACCCGAAGAAGACTGAGAAATTTTTGGGAAAGTTGAGGGAGGGACATGGGTATTTCAAAGTGTTTACCGATTTATTCGATATCGATCTGCTGAGGAATTACTCTTATCTCAATGTTATTTTTGGATTGAGTTTATTTAATATCGCGGAATCAAATTTCAAGTTGATGACACCATTTTTCCTCAGAAAACAAGTTGGTGAGAATTTTTTAATAATTTTTTTCGTTCGTAAATTTGAATTTGGTTGGGATTGATGCTGTGGCATCATTTTGGGCCAATGTTTTTATACGAATGTTTACAATTGAAAGACATTTTGCATTCATGATGAGTGAGGATGAAAAAAATTGTGATTGTTACATTTTGCGAGGAAAACGAGTGGGAAATTGCTCTTGTATTGCATAGGGTGTATATATTTGCGCGAATAAATTAGCAATATGCTTCCGAAGCGTTATTTTGCACATAATTCCTTCTATCATATATGATAATTTATTTATACATACTTGAATGAATTTGAAACATCACATTTTAAGAAACCATCGGAATGCTCACTTTCAGGGAAATTCATGAAAAATTCGAAATTTTCAATAATTATCATAAAAATCAAATTAACCAATATAGCTATCGTAATCATCTTTGAACTTCGACTTAACAGCATTAAACCAATAATTTTAAGCAATGATTGAATTCATTTGGAGCATGATACTCAAATATATGCACGGAATATCGATTTTCAAAAAATACTAAATTTTTACAAATTTTCAAGTAAATCAAAATAACAATTACACAGTATAAAAAATTCGGTGTTATTATCTCCTGTGTGAAGTTAATATTCCGGTGTTGAAATTAACTCTCTCGCCCGGAGTCAAATTTCGGTACGGAATCAATTTTTACTTTTCATACCGAACTGTGTTGATTAATATTTTCATTTTGTCACCATGGCAGTGGCAATTCTCACTCCACTCGCTGTATTTCACTCCAGAATGAATGAACTCCCTACATTCACACCGAAAAACGGTGTGAACAGAGTCGAAATTCACTCTGGATTTTTTTACTGTGTATTGCTATCGCCTTCATCTTCGAACTTGGTCGAAAGGACATCTAAACAAATTTTTGAAGTCATCATTTGATCAATTCTGAACATTTTTTTTTTAGTTATCGTGGAACAATGACTTACGAAAAAATTCGAAAATTGAAAAAACTATTCGATGAATTAAATTTGAATTAATGGCAATTGATAAAGCTCACGTACGGGCGAAGTCTAAAAATTGCATTTTCGTCAGAAGGCCCGGTAAACCGCCGCTCGCTTCGCTCGGTTAGATCGCGGTTTACGGACCTTTTGACGAAAAATTGCATTCATCACACGGTCCAAAAGAATTTTCTGACGAATGTGATTATACAAAGTGAGATTCGTCAGAAAATACTTTGTGGACCTTGTGATGAAAATAACTATTTCGGACTTTTTAGATGATACTGGGTCGATATAACATAAAAAATCCAAAACTTAAATCTCACTTTTCTCTCAGTGTAGAATTGCATAAAACCGTTAAGTGGCATATATTAATTACAAATATTCATTCAATCAAATGTGTCCCATTCAGGAATGACTGAAGGAGAAGTTGCATTCTGTCTATCCCTGATGGCATTCACAGACATCGTAGCCCGCCTGATCCTCCCAGTAATCTACGACAGGCTGGGCTTCAAAAAGCGTCGCCTCTTTTGGATCAATGCTCTTTTTGTCGCAATGGGACGCTCCAGTAAGTCCATGCCAAGCATTTGCCGTCTATTCGTAATATGACTCTCACGATCAAACAATACACCCCATTTATCCACAGCCTCAAATATTTGATCGAGTATTATCGCCCACGATGCTCTCCCACATAATTGACTTTTTCCTTTCTAGTTCTGGCTGAAATGTCACAGGGTATATTATTATTTGTCGTGTTAGTCATCAATGGCTTCATTCGGGGTGCTGCCATTCAGAATCTACAGTTGTCGGTGTCTGAGACTTGCTCATTGCAGAGTTTGCCGTATGCTTATGGTCTTTTCATGGTTTCTAAGGGAACTTTCTCACTTTGTTTCAGTCCTCTTATCGGTGAGTCTGAATCAGCTAGTGAAATCGTGCCTTTGGTACTTTAAAATTATATTCAATGGTGCTAATTTTTTTCTCAGGCTACGTGAGAGATTACAGCGGCAGCTACAGAATCTGCCTCCACGCAATGAGCTCCATTATCCTAATCTGCTTCATAACTTGGGGCATTGAATTTTTTTTGAAAGCCATTCGTAAAAAGTCAAATAAAGTACCTGAAGAAATCAAAGTTCAAACCACTTGAATACAACAATTGAATATCAGAGAGTTATTCTCATATGAATGTTCACGTATGAAAAAATTGAATAGAAAAAGCTGGTGGTTTCAATCAAAAGTTGTAGTGAATCTCTATTGGAAATGCATTGGATTTTAGGAAGGTGCGACGATTTGAAGGTGCAATTTGAATAATTAATTAAACACGAACGAAACCATAAAAGTAGTTAGAATTGCTTTTACAAATACCTTTTCAACATTTTTGATTACTATATGATATATTTAATTTGCAAGCACATTGTCATATTTTATCCAAAAGTACTGCGGAGACCCCTTAAGGATGTTCTACACCCTTTCTGCCAAAATTCACGTTTTTTTAATTTTTCTGGTAAACTTATGATGGAATTGACGTGAAAAAATATAACGTTTTTGCGTTTTGTCATTATTTAATGACTGACGAAATTTTAAGATCCTGCGTTTTCTCTAAACTTTTAAAAAGAATCACAAAACTGTAGAAAAAACGCATGAAAATTATCGCACCACTACGCAACTTCGTGAGCCATTAAAGAATGACAAACCACAAAATCGTTATATTTTTTCACGTCACTCCCATCGATAATTTGCCAGAAAAATGAAAACAACGTCAATTTTGGCTAAAAGGGTGTCGAACATCCTTAACCCTCCTAAACTGGCGTTCGGTGCCCACCCGAATCCACTGGCTCGGTGAGCAACGCGCCGCCCGTGTTACGGTTAGCGCGGTGTTGCCACATTGGATCCCTGTACGTGAATAAAAATCTACACTGCACATATTTTTCTCGAATTAAACACCATTTATGCTCTAAAAAAAATTCGCGTTTTTTATGAGACGCCAAACACGGCACATGATAGAGATGTTGACGTTCCTAGTATGTCTGAACTGAAACGAACGACGTGGCAACAGCGCGGCTAGAAACCGACTACACGTGTCCACTGGCTCCGGGCGGCGAGGCGCCGCTTTTCTGTACCAGTCTCACTAAATTATTATTTTTCATGGTATTCATGGGGTTTTCAAGGGATAAGAATCTTACCAGTCCATTCTATAGGGTTTGAAGTGGGCATTGTAATTTTTACAAATTTTTTCATACATAATTTTACATGCAACAAGAAAAAGTCGAGAAAAGGCGGCGCTTTGCTCATTGAGCCGGTTCATGAGGGTTAAAAGAACTCCCAGATTTCACGGTTTATTTGCGAAAAAATATGCTAGAAATGGCAAAATATCTCGTTTACCTCGCATTTTTCCCTTGATTTCAATTTCCCTTTTTTGTTGGGTATTGGAATTCTGTTGGCATTCTATTGAAATTATTCCGTAATTTCATCAAAAAACGCATCCGTTTTATGCTGATTTCTATTGGAAATTTTTCAGAAGAGATAGATTTAATAGATTTATATTTTCTATATGACTCCATTCCTTCAGATTTTTTTATGTAAAAATTCATGCGCATTTATTTCCCATATTCTTCGTGCTTTAATTTGTTTTCTTTTAATTATAAAATCCATGAAAAAAACCTGCAAAGTCTATACCTAACAATTCATGCAGCAAAAATCATCATAATTTAAGTTTGTATTAAAAAGAAATCAACAACCATTGACATTTAACTTTTTAATATCAAGTATCTACTGGTATTGCTCGGTGAAACTATATATTTTCTAATAGAAATCGGTGGAAAAATGGGATTTGTAATCCAACGCAATAGCTTTTCTATGGAATTTTTCCCTACGTGTTCGGCGTCATTGAGAGGTTTGATGGTATATCATCATGAGTGCTGTGTACTCAAAGTTTTTAACGGATATGTAACCGTTGCCGAGCACACAAATTGTCTCCGAATGCGATTTTCCTCTTTTGTCTGAACAAAAAAATTATGTTGGTTGGAAGATTGATGAGAGGAAAACTGGTTAGAAGTTTTCATAATCAGAAAACCACGTTATAATTTCTATCCATTGTTAGACACCGTACGTACTAGTGTAATCACCGCTTCAATTATCAATTGATTACCTTAATTGGTAACGAAGACTTGTATTTTCAGGAAGGAAAACAGCAATGTGCAGGATCATTGTTATTGTTCGATCGCACATCTAAAATAATATTTACGACGAGCGTTGAAACTATTTCGTTTTCCCAAAATTCTTCAGTTTTCCCTAAAGCAATTTCTTTTTTCCCAAGTACCAGGAAGATGCAGCTACGCACGTAGAAATCATAAAACAGACAAATTTTAGAAATTTGTCTGTTAAAAACCCGCGTCAACTCATTCGTACAAAAATTATTTTTCCCGAAAATTTACTGTTCAGGCACTTTCGCTAGCCAGATGAAAGTCGTAAAATTCGTCCGGGAGTCCGTTCTGACCTTTCCCTTTTTTATTTTTCCGGACCTCAATGAAGGACCCGACGTACTTTGGTCAACACTGTAGAGCCTTGAACTTTTCACGCCTTCAAATATCTTTCTACCAATAGAAAAATTTTTGTGCCCTCTCTCTACAAGAGTACAACCCCCTTTACCCTCACGCTCAACACTGTACATGAAGAGTAGGATTTAAGAAATATAATACGGTAGTACCAACGAAGATTCCACAGCGAAACTATCGAGACACAACACCAAGTTCTGATCTCGCATTTTTAAGTAAATATTCATTTAATATTATCAAGTTATTTTAAAGTGCAATACTTATTTTTATAGGCTCCAGTTTTGTGAATTATTTTATCAACATTTTTACTTATCAATTATACAGTGAGTTTAAGTGAATTATAGGTAATTATTGCAATCCCGTTCCTTAGACTTTTTTACGCAGAAAAGATTGACGTATACCTGGAGGAGTATACCTGTGCCTTACAACCCCAGGGAAAGGTCACCATAAAATAAATTCGACGATTGCGTCGATTACTCCGTAAAGGTATCCCCCCCCTGATACTAATGTAGATGTTAATATCAATTTTACAAATTGTCTATAAAGACACTTTCTAACTACTAAAGCTGTACATTGTTCTTAATAAATAGAATTCTCCTCAGAATTTTCGTCGAATTCCATAGGAAATACCACGGCTTCTCCGCATATTTCTTTTCTAAGAAAAAAAATCGGATAAAAAAAAAAATTTGTCTGTGTAGAGCTTATACTGTTGAAATTGTTTTTATTCAATTTTTTCAGCACAAATTTATTAAGTTTCTTCTATTCTGGCTTTTGAATGGAAGCATTAAAATCGTTCTATTTTGAAATTTTCCAATTTAAAAAATACTAAATTTGACAAAAATCTACGAATTCAAGAACTAGAATAATTTCAAAAAATCTTAAAACTTGTCAGATTATAGATATTAATGAGGACTACTCTGTGCAGAATTTCAACCCAATCGACCCAGCCGTTTTTGAGAAAACACCATTCGTTTCTAAATTGTTGTTCGTAAATATCTCGAAAACTATCTAGCCAATTTCAAGAATTTTATTTTCAAAATATTCGTCTCGATATCTTCCATCCCAGTGAATCAAAATATGTATACCCCTTCGTACAATGTTTCCAAAACATTTCCATTTTTCGGTTTTTCCGAAAACGGACATATTAACGATGAAATATGGCATAAAGTTTCTTCTTATTTTGAAAACTTGACAAATTTATGCTGAAGAGTTTTTTTTAGAAAAACGTAAAATCTATTAATTTTTTTGTTATTGATATGTTATAAATACATTCTTTGATTCGAAATGAAGTGCAAAAAAGCAGTGAAGTATTCAATACAAATCTATAAATTGTGTTAATTTCATATATGTTAATCTTCCGACTATAATCTCCTAATTCGATGCTTCATGCTCCTCATTGTTCTGACTGAACCTCCGCATGAATTCCTCGAGCGCGGTTGCACACATCAATTTATCAATCATCGAATAATGGCTCACCTCAGCCCATGGAAAACAGGACGCTAATGTTTTTTTAATAGTTTTTTTTATGAGTACATATTCATAGAAACCTATTTACTCAATATTGAATTTTTCATACGATATGAGACTCTACAGCGGCGATTACAAAACCTGTTCCCGCGCTGTGAGTTTTCTCGTATTAATTCGCTTCATTACTCCCAGTAGTATTGAATCTTTGCGGAAAGTCATCCAAGGGACACATATGAATTCCTCCAGGTATATTCCGACTATTGCTGAAAAGTGAGAAAATACATAGTCGCAGGGATGTGAATATTCAACGACATGCGGCCATAGAGGTCGACATGTGTTTCTATCACGAGCATTGTTCCCAACCGAGTTGCAATTCCAATGAATAATTAATCTATTTCTACACAGGATAAATTACATCTTGACCAACCATTCACCTTCTAGGCGAATGCACGTGAATATTGTTCTTTAAGGGGGGACACTACTGAAATTTGAAAGTCTTCTAATAAAAAAATGGCCTCTGTGAGATTCGTCTCTCATGTGTGGTCACTAAAAAACTGTTTTGACCTACCTTCACTTGTCCAATATGACGGCAAATTGAAAAAAAAGATTTTTTCAAATCGACAAATCGACAAATCGACAAAGTGAGTAAAAATGATCTGATGGTCTTGAAATTAATGCACAATGTTCAGAACACTGAAATAAACAAAGCTGCAGATGCCAATTTGAATCAGATGATTTTTAACTTCCCGACCCGAAGGGAGGAAGTTATTGTAATGACCCCGAAAATCGAATGTGGAAATTTAAGCATTTCTCCACGTTTCATGACCTTTGGAACCACTTCTGACCCTTTTCAGATACCTGTCTGTATGTGTGGATGTGTGTATGTGTGTGCGTACGTCTGTGACAAAAATTTTGTGCCACGATTCCTCCTGAACAAACGATGCGATTTGACTTTTTTTTTTTTAATCGCTGTATTTTCATGTGACTTGAACCTGATTAGATTATGGAGACGATCGTCTCAGCGTTTCTCCAGTTTTTTCCAAAAAACATTTGGAAAAAAGTCGAAAATTAGCGTTTTTTTGTAAACGAGACCATTTCTCCGTGCATAACGATGCGATTTCAAGTTTTTTTTGTTAGAAACGATGAATCTTGATATAACGCACAAATCATGGAATACTGGAAGACATTTAATCAGCAGTTCACTAGCTTTTTTCGAAATCGATATACATTCAAGAAACAATTTTACTTTTCTGATAAATTACATCTTTTCTCGATGCGGAACACGGCGATGTGTGTGCATGGGAGTGTGTGTGAGTGCGAGCACGTGCACGGATTTTCTTGTCTTCTATGGGTATTTCCTCGGAGAAATGTGAGAAAAAGATTGAATAAATACATAATAAAAAAATTAATGAAAGAAAAAACAAATGGTCGGGAAGTTATTGGTGCGACCCGTAATGGGTCACATCCAATTCCACCAACCCCTACCGGTCATACCCTAAAGAGGGAGCGCGCGAAGCGCGCGAGCGGGCCTGATTTTTCGATTTTAGATCATCCGTTAATCGAAAAATCACAAAATGCAAAAATATCGAATTAGTCAGCTTGCTTCCCTAGCAGAAATTTCATTGCGCAGGAATGTCGCGGCATAAGTTGGGGCGCGATATTGCCTTTCGCGGCGATGTACCACAGAAAGGTACGCAACAGAGTCGCTGAGACAGAGCTGCGCAGGGTTTATGCGGGATGGACCTATCTATGTCCGCCCTTACCTCAAATCCCGTCAATTAAGAATTCACAAGCTTCAGATAATGCGTATTAATTCAAATCAATTATTGAAGAATTAACGATTTGTTAGTGAATAATAATCGCTCGCAACTAATTGATAATTATTATTATCAATAAAATGAAAAAATGGGAGCGCACCTCATCAGTGTCGCATAGGGTTCCAGCAGCGACCTAGCAGCAGAGTATGGTAGCGCACTGCGTGCGTGAACGTCGCTGCAGCAGCCAATGTCGCAGAGCCTCTCACAATTTCAACTAGGGTTTTATTCGATTTGTTTTTCCCGATTTCTGGGTAATCTAAAATCTAAAAACATGGTGTTCTGAACATTGTGTATCATTTTCAAGACGATCCGATCATTTCTACTCACTTTCCAGACTCTCAAAGGGCAAAATCGTTTTTTTCGGTTTTTTGAAATTCCCCGCCATATCGAATGGGCGTAGGTGGGTCAAAACAATGTTTTTAATGACTACACATGTAAGAAAAATCTCATGGAGGTCATTTTTTTATTGCAGGGCTAACAAATTTCAGTAGTGTCCCCGCTTAAGATTCATCCCACGACAATACCACCCAAAAGTTAGTCCTTATGGATTTCCGATATAAATACTAAATGACTTAATTTATAGCATTCTCATAAGTTATTGAGTTTTTCTATTCTCATATGTTGTTGATGAAAGCACCAATAACTGTTTGAATCAAATACGAAGTTATTTGTTAATTAATTGTTTGAATCAAATAAATAAATTGTTTGAACCAAAATTTTGAGTTGAATATCGCAGCAACTATATACTATAAAATTTTATCTTCAATCTACCTCGGATTCTTTTTTTAAGAACATCGTAGGGACCGGTCGACCCATAAGCCCCGTTTGGCCTATGCCTTGCTAGAAGTTCACGCTTTATTATTCATTATCTCCTAAACTGTGTAGTACAGCTAGTTAGCATTTTTGTCAGTACCTGAGGAATATTGTACATATTATCTATGGAAAACATGGGGACAATCTAAGAAAAACCTGTTTTCTAGGGATATACCTTGAGGGGACACCACGGTGAAACTTTGAAATTGTCGGGTGATGTGGAGACGATCATTGTAGAGTTATAGGCGAAACAAAGTGTAAATAAACCGAACTCCGAGATTTTTCAAGGCTTGCTAAAGGTCAAAACGAATCGAAACGGATGAAAGTCTACAGAAACATTCAAGTACCTCAATTTTCAACGGATTGAGTAAAAAATTGAGTCACTCATACTTGAAATATGCAGGAAGAACACTAAAGGAGGATTTTCAAAAATTATAATTTTTTGTGTGAAGTTGAAAATAAATTTTTCAAAAATTTATATTCTATTGAGATAGTATATACTAGAATTTCGGGCATATTTCGGGAGAATGGGCCATATCATTGGGGAAAAAAATATAAATGCGTACAAATGCGTACAAAATGCATCAAAAATTCCCATAATCATCTTTTTAACCTCCGACAACTTCTAAATTTTACAAATCTCAAAGTCTTCATTGGAGCAGGGGAAGTATCGAGCGACTTTTAATATATGATGGCACATATTAATAAGTGGGAAAAATTATGACTGCAATCGATGGTACCCCGTGAATCAACGAAAAACAAGTGTTTTCATTTTGATCTTTAAAATCCTTCGAGTGTCTTAGTTTTCATTCGATGGACTTTTTTTTTTCAAAATGTTTATTAACCCTCGATCACTCCCGCTCGACCGCCAGCCTTCATCCGTCGCGCGATTAGCGCAGCGCCGATGGGTTAAACCGAGCGCGCTGTTGCCACTTTGGCGCTTACCGCTATGCGCGCTTTCCACGTATGACAGTGAATGTAGCAACATTGTCGATCGAGCGATCGACAGGGACTCCACTCGGGCGGCGCGGCACCGCTTTTCTGTCCGGTCGAAGTTTCTTTTTTTGTTTTTAGCTGAACAAATTTCTCGAGCTTAATTAAACCGTTGAACTAGGAGCTCTAATTTTTTCAGAATTTTTAAGCTTCGAAAAACACGCTTAAATGTAAAAAAAACGAAAACGGGCGGCGTCGCGCTCGTTGAACGAGTGATCGAGGGTTAACCCTAGGTTGGTCACCTGATGGGAACTTGCGACTCTGGTCACCTCCGCGGGGATTTGCCGCCGCGTTAGTTAGGCTCCAGCGTTGTCGAATTCACTCTACACTGCCTGGGCGCGTTTAACCAGTTTCCAGCAACGTCGCGCAACGGGCAATTTCATTTAACATGGGAAAAAATTGTTCAACTGTTGGAAATGATTTTTTGTCCTCCAGAATTTGGGATGTAATATTAAAAAAACCATACTAAAATTTTCCAGATACTTTAGTTGACGAATTCAAATTTTTTAGGATCTTTCCCGTCAACCAGCCGGTGACAAGACGAAAAAAACGACACGTAATTCCCTCGCATGGTGACCAATCTAGGGTTAAACTCCAAAGAACAAAGGTATGTATCTGTATGACGATCTGTTACGTAGATCATGGAAAAATTGAAGAATTTTTTTTTCGCTTATTTCTTTCGCATTGATTTCTCAACATTTCATTTTTTTCTAAATTTTTCATGATCTGTTCAGTGGGTCGTAAAATGGATGCATAACTTTGCGCTTTGGGGACTAACGAACATTTTGAAAAAACAATGATCGATCGGATGAAACCTGAGGCACTTGGACGATTTTAAAGATCGTCGTCTAGCTGAAGGGGCGTAAGTGATGTGTACAAGCATAGCTGTTACGTCCCGTTGGATTTACAACGACGATATTATTATCAATAGTCAATTTTTACATGATTGATCGCCAAGTTTTATCAATAATAGTCATAAAAAAACTTGCCCAATGATGATAAGATTATCCATTTCATCCGAGTGCAGAATCATCACCGATGAATACACGTATGAACAAATTCAATAGCAAACTTTAGCGAATTCTCTAGAAATTCTATTGGGATTCTATGAAAATTCTAGGGAATTCTCGTTAAAATTCTTTTTTTTTTTAGAAAATTCAACAGATTTCGATTTTTCTATGTGAATATTCTCCTGGAATTCTATTTCTATAAGACTTGGTCATGAATTTTCCAAGTTTTTTTCACTCGCATCCTGTAATGCAAAGCAAAACAAAATATAGTAGAAAAAGCATAGAAAGTCTGTCCCCAATAATTTTAATAGAAAAAATCTCAAGATAAAAATTCAGCCAGAAAAATCGAAATCTATTGACTTTCTCCTACGAAATAGCTAATAGAATCTGCGCAAAAAGAAATAAAATTTCAACGAGAATTCCCTAGAATTCTAATAGAATCTCCATAAATATTCTAGACAATTCCAATAGAATTTTCTAGCGAATTCGTTGAGATTTTCTATTGACTGTTTTCGTACGTATAATCATCAAAGAATTCTGCAATGACCTGAAAATGAAACGATTATTTCAGACTACATTTTTCGCATGAAGACAATGCCATCAATATCAGAATGATTAATCGCTTTGAAGTCCCGACTACCATTTCTCCTTTGATAAGCTAAATCTGGCGAATTGTCTTCGATTTTCCTCATTATCGTCAACATTTCACAGCATTAAAGAAGAAAAAACGTAAAACAACGATGAATGCATTGCTGGTGTACGGATATACTGATCATCAGATCTCGAAAATGATTCCTCCCCGTTATAGCAGTGACCCTGAAACCTGCTTTGCTACACTTGAAATCAGAAAACGCGCGTACACGTCATAGTTTGGGTGTGAACTTGTTGGGATATCGCGCAATGCAGGAGTGGATAAACTCTCAACCGGCTGTCCAGTTGCTAATGTTCTTCCGTAGGTGGTCTATCGTGTAAGAGTGAGCATATCTCTCGGCAATGGGTGCTATGACGACTGAAGGTGACAATGTTAAAGACGAAGGGAATAAAAAGCCTGAGGAAGAGCTCAATAAGTTGACAGATGACTTTGTGGCCCCTGACGGGGGTTGGGGGTGGATTATCGTTCTCGCTGCTGGATTTTCAAACGTGAGTGATTATCCCCTTAAGGAGAGGCCACTATCAGTTTTAAAAGTCGCGGACGATTGGAGTGAAATTTCTCATGCATTTAAAGTCGATTATATGTCTAAAAACGAATAATTAGTGCAAAAAAATTATTGTTTATTGATGGTTTGCCCCGCACAAGCTTAAAATGTTAAAAATAGTCCAGGGTCCAAAACTGGGTACAATAATAATGACGAATTAGTTTTTTGGAATGCGACTCCTACATAGCTAATTTCGTTTTATTGAATATGAAAAGTTGCGCCATTCATGTAAAATAGACTAAAAAATTATCCTTGAAATATTTTAAATATATTCTCGATTTTTTCAGATACTTTTTGGACTATTTTACATGAATGGTGTAATTTTTTATTTGAAAAAAAAACGAAATTAGTTCTGTAGGAGTCGAATTTCAAAAAACTAACTCGCAATTGTGTAAAAAAACCTCTGCAGCTAAAAAATTGGAGACTTTGGACTACTTTTAACATTTTAGGCATCTGCGGGGCAAACGAACAATAAACAATTGATTTTTTTGCACTAATTATTCATTTTTAGACATATATGATCGATCTTCAGTGTATGAGAAATTTTATTCCAATCGCCCACGACTTTTAAAACTTATAGTAGTGTCCTCTTAAATCTTGAGACTCAAAATTTGAATGAAAGTGAAATGATCAATTTTTTTTTTCATTTACGCGTGAAGCTTTGCGTGCTAGCGACAATACAAAATTTCGGCCTCATATTTCGAGTGAAATTAGCCCACCTTGGAATAACACCAACGGAAACAACGACTATTCTAAATGTTCATCTCGCTATAACAGCTACGATAGGTGAGTTTGAATTCACTATCTGCGTTTCACTTCTACTGGCTTCAAACCAATTCTACTTTCACTGTACTTATACTCGTGTTGCGTTTAGTAAAAGGGGAAATGTTTATTTTCCGTGACGTCCCACTAGCGCTCCTGCAGCTAGACGAAACAAGTGGGCTATTGCTTCTTTCATAACTTGGTGTTGTCATTTTTGCTAATAAATTAGCGATTTGAAATGAATAGTTTCACTTAAGGGTATTCAAGTATCTCGTACAGTTTGTACAGATCATACTATACACTGTTAGACTTTTTTTGAAATTTCATGGAAAATATGATATTAATTCTCAGAAGATTGACATTGAATCGGATTTAGGGGAAAATGGTTGTGAAATTTCATGTTCTAGGTAGAATTCAAGGAAATTCATGAGTTTTCAGTGGAAGTGAGATGGAAATTTTACAATTTGGTTGAAGTTTCATGGAACATGAATTTTCCCTGGATTTTCCGGATTTTTACGAATTTTTCCAGAATAATTGAACTGCAACATCAAGTATTGTATTGATTTTCAGATCATTTTCGGCGTCATTTTCCCTCAGGAATCTGATTTTATCGGTCAAAATTGTCTCCGGCCACTCAAAATTAGGGAGTCGAATTTTTTAAATCGAAAACTGAACTTAGCAAAAATCCCCAACATATTATTTTTTTAGTTGTTAAAGATGATCACAAATTTTCGCTCCTCAATTGTAAAAAATTCGGGAGAAGATACCATTTGAAATTTATTCGCTTATCAAAATTTCGATCTCGTCCAGTGATTGAACTAATTTATATATTTATCGTAGAACAAATGGTTAATACAGTGAAATGGGACTTTTGTCCTTTTTAAAAACCAAAATGAATAATGAATAATGTTCATGAATTGAATGAGACCTGGTGAAAATTCCCATATTATTAAATCTTGGTTTTTCGATCATTGGTATTTGACGACTCTTATTCGTTCAAACACTGGACAGTTCACCCTATCTCAAGAAAAAAAATTTCTCGCCCAAGTATTATGTATGAACTTCATTTACCAATGCTCACTCTATGTTTAGTGGTCCTTATCCATTTATCTAATGTAGGGACGGGAAAAATACCCAACGTACTCAAATATTGGGGAATTTAGGGATTAAGGGGTAATATAGCGACGTCGGACCCAAGAGGGTTTTATTGCGGGTGGGCATTTGGGCGACAGTTTGGCGCGCATGTGTGGGGAAAACACAGGGGATTTACGGTGAAAATTTCCTGAATTTGCATTTCCCCCGAAATATTGCCATGTGGGAGTAAGCGTAGGGCCCAGGGACAGAGCACCAGGGGTACTCACTTTCAAGTTTACTTCGAAATGCAAATTCAGTTCGAGATATTCCACGTGTAATCTATTTTTATGATTTATATAGATTTCAACTTGGTGAGCGTTGATGCGTTTTTATTTCATCTGCATGCCACCGCTATTATTTTATTAACTCCGCGATAGAGGAAGTTATTTTCTAGTCTTTTATGCCTTATAGTTGAGAGGACTCCTCTCAGTAATCCGGATTTCCTCAATGCACTTCCTCCCTAACATTTCAATAGGTGCATTTTTTCTCTACGGTTTCCATTAATTTTCCATTCGTCTCATGGAAATTCACTCATTCTAATTGATACTCATAAAAATTTTCAAGAATATAATGAAAATGTTTCTTCGCCCACATTTTTCATAATTAAGGAGCAAAAATTTCTAAACATATTTTAAAAAGCTATTTTTAAAAAACACCTTGGCTTAAAAAAAATTGATTTTCAAATAAACAAAATTGAATGTCACATTTTTAGCGGTCGGAGACAAATTCGACCAACAAAATCGAACTTCTGAAGAAAAATCACGTGGAAAGTAGTATTGTAAATTTTTTTTTCTCGAAAAACCAAAAAGTTTTTTTACCGGGGTGAACCTCCCCTTAATCGATTATTGAGAGAAACGAAAAAAATGGTCACGTACGTATACATGTATCTAGATGATCCAAAAACATCGTAGAAATTTGAACTGTAAAGATGTCCAATGCTTCCATTGGAGAGCGAAATTTAAAAATAAGAATTTGTTATCTAATAATGTCAGATAAACATGATTACTCAATCTCGAATAAATATTCAGATTCGATTAGCAAAGTTGGAATGCACTCGGCAGACTTTTTGTTGCAACAATGGATCGATTGACAACTCATTCACCAAATTACTTGGTCATCATCCCGTCAATTCGATGATGTAAATCAGTCCAAAAAATTGTTGCTGTGACTTTCTCCCTAACAGGCACATGCCAAAATCGAGCCAACACGAAAGCCCCGAGGCAATTGCTGTTTCGTCGTTAAAAACTTTTTTTACGCTTAATTTTGAAAGCAGCAGGGCCACGCAATCATCTCATTTCGTCATTAGCACGATCCGGTACTTTTATTTATGCTTTTTCTTCTGCATCTGATAATAGTGGATGTCTCTGACAAAGCCACCTGGATCCACGGCAATTTTGTGCCTTTCAAATCCTTTATTTGTTGAACATGAATAATATTTCCACTAATCTCGATGATTTTCGGAGGAATGATTCAACTCATTTGAACAATCTCCTTGAAACTCTGGCAAACAAGTGCATAAATGTATTGTTCATACTTAAGCATCGCTATCGTTCTTGATGAATTGGAAATCTACTTCCGAATTAATTCACCTTTGATACGATTACATCATTCTTTCAAATGAAAGACTTTGGCCTTTCTCAAGGAAATTCCAAAAAAATTGGCAAAACATACGAATGCACACGCATAAATGCATACGGGTTCGTTAAAAAATGGGACATTCTGAGTTTTCAGACAACGCACAATCACTCCAACATAAAAAATCGAAACTTTGAATTTTGACAAAAACAATGCTTTCATTCGCAAGAAAAAACTCAGTTGATCTCTCATCTTTCTATTTTAATTAATTTTCAACTCAGTTCAGAAAGCGTTAAAATATTATATCATTAGTATATTGGAAATGTGCTTCGGAATGAATTAAACTTCGATTCTATTACATCATTCTTTTGAATGAAAGACTTCGGCCTTTCTCAAGGAAATTCCAAAAAAATTGGCAAAACATACGAATGCACACGCATAAATGCATACGGGTTCGTTAAAAAATGGGACATTCTGAGTTTTCAGACAACGCACAATCACTCCAACATAAAAAATCGAAACTTTGAATTTTGACAAAAACAATGCTTTCATTCGCAAGCAAAAACTCATTATAATCTCTCATGATTCGATTTTCATCAATTTTCAACTTAACTCAGAAGGCATTAAAATATTATATTATTAATATATTAGAAATGTACTTCCTAATGAATTAAACTTCGATTCTATTACATCATTCTTTCAAATGAAAGCCTTCGGCCTTTCTCAAGGAAATTCCACAAAATTTGGCAAAACATACGAATGCCCACACATAAACCGATACGGATTCATTAAAAAATGGGACATTATGAGTTTTCAGATAATGCACAATCACTCCAACATAAAAAATCGAAAAGTTGATTTTTTCCAAAACCAATATTGTCATTCGCCAGCAAAAGCTCATTATCATCTCTCACGATGCCATTCTCATAAATTTTCAACTTAATTCAGAAGACATTAAGAAGATTTTTTAACCATAATTCGATTGGCTTTAAAGATCATTTTTCCAGTAATCATTAGGAATCGACTCTCAAATTAACAATCAAGGGATTAATGAAGAAGAATCAAGAGATCATTGACTTCAATTTTTTAAGTCATGATTAAATTAATTTCAGTAAGAACTTCTCGAGTGGTCGTTAAAAATCGATTTTCGGAAAAGTATAAATATCTCCAAAATTTTATTATAAATTGAATTTTAATTGATATTAATGGAAAACGCTCGTTGAAGTCAACATCCAAAAAAAAACTCATGAAATTCGCGACAGTTTATAAATCGCTACAAGGGTGTACCATTTTCAGACCATATTTAATCACTCTAATATAAGAAATTGGAAAATTAAATTCAAACGATTATATTTCTTCTATTAACAAGCAAAAATACAATGAGTTCAGAAAAAATTACATTACATTAAAATCAATAATACATTAAAAATTACATTAGAATCCCACATAATATTTAAAAAAACAATCCCTCAAAAATATTGCAATTTTGACTGTTTATTACATTCCTTATTAGAGTTCTAGTTAAAGTTCTTACGAAGCCATAACGCTGCGTGATTATCACAAATTATGGGTGATTTCAAATGCAAATTTTTCTCCCCCAATAACCATTAAAAACGAATTGTCTGTTTCATTGTAGTCTCTGTACTTCCAATCATCTTTCTTAACACATTAAAAAGATTCAAGATTAAATTGTTATTCTCGGCGAGTCAGGCAGTTCCATCCTTGATTAATTATTTGATAACTCACTCACTCGAAAACAAAATGATTAATTCTAGAATCTGTGATTTTCAATTATTTGCAAACGGGCCAGACTGATAGCAAATGTTTCTGCCCATCATTTCCAATAAAATCTAGGTCGATCATTATCAAAAAAGCCTCACTCATTCGCAGTATTGTTAATCGATGCGAGTGCTCCTCTTTGATCGCCTACGCATTAGATTGCATCACCAGTCACGGGATTATCTGCATACCCAGTATGCTAATTCTCACAATAACGATTCAACTGATATATTCACAATCAGCTGTTGACCGCTCGATAAGGAGCGAATCAATAAAAAGGCCTGACCTTGAGCAGACCAACTCATTATCTTTGTAATTGGAATTTTCCAGGGGTTTTCTCATTTAGTCCGGCTTATTTTCTTTGTTCTATAGGTTTAGCCAATGGCCCTCTTTTCAAGAAGTTCAGCTTCAGACAGATAGCTCTCTGTGGGGCAATCCTATGTTCATCAGCAACGATAATGCTGTCCACAGCCAGGACGTTCCATGAAATTCTTATTTATCTTGCAGTCTTCCACGGTGACACCTCAGTTTTATTATTTACTTACGAGTTATCCATTCTTTGTGGCTATTTTTACTGAGATTATCTAGCAATTGACATTTCATTTATGAGAAAAATGGTGCTATCAACTGCTGGATAGATGTTGATCATTGAAATAGTAGTGGCTTCTGAAGGACAACTCGTGTCTTGTCAATGTTGAATTTGTGATAATTGAAAGCTAAATAGGAGTGTCAGTTGCTAATGATTTTTTTCAGTTTCGTATTCTGCATTCGTAGGATTCACTCAATGATAACCGGCATTTGCATGTAGATAATGTAATTATCCACTATTATTTTGTTTAGTTTAAAAAACAAATGGATATTTCTGATTATTCCTTGAGAACGGATCACGGCCAATCAGAGTGTAGTATTTGGCGTGATATTGCACATTTGCTCTTCATTCGTTTTCAAAATTGGAATTTCAAATGTTTCATCCTCCCTGGCCGCGATTTGTTCTCGTGGCACAATCCGACGAATACCCTTCGAGCTTCAAAATTATTTGGTATTTCCCTGAAGCTTCCCTACAAGCAAACCATCCTGTCATGTTTGTCATGTTTTTTCGTTAGAAAATTCTATTGAATTTCTATTGTACTGTCCCATTAGTTTTTGGCCGATTCTATTGAAATGTTCAATGGAAAATATTCAGTAGAAAAAGTCAATAGAATTCAATTTTTCTATATAACTTATTCTATTGAGATAGTCTCTATAGAATTTCCTCGGCTCAAATTTTCTAAGTTTTTTCGTTTGATTTTCTTAATGAAAAGAAGAGAAAAATGGAATGAAAATAACTTAGGAAATTTGAGTTGAGCAAATTTTATAGAAAATATATGAAAAGAATAAGTTACATAGAAAAATCGAATTCAGTTGACTTTTTCTATTCAATATTTTCTATTGAACATGTCAATAGAATCAGCGAAAGACTAACAGAAAGTTTAATAGAAATCCAATAGAATTTTGAAACGAATTCGATAGGTTTTTCTATTAAATTTTTTCGGGCATGAGATTCAGGCAGAATTTCCACTACGGCACTTTCCCTTGTTTGCAACCAAGTTATCAGGAAATAACCAATAATTTTGAAGCACTCGGGGTATTACTACTGGTTAATTAATGAATTGTGTCACTCACTGGTAACAATTTTTATTCTGTCATTCAAATGCCAATCTGTAGCTGCCGGATCGGGAATATCAATGTCATCGAATGCCCTGGCCCTAAATACATACTTCAAGAAGAGAAGGAGGCTGGCAGTGGGCCTCAGCTGGACATGCACTGGTCTTGGACCCATCATTATGCCCCATGTAAAGTCACAGATGTTCAAACGATGACAGGAATCATCGATGCCGGTTCTGACATTACGATTTCGGTTTTTACAGATAATTACAGCTTTGATGCCGATATTCGATGTCTCTGGGACTCTTCTGATTTTGGGTGGATTTGCAACCCACTCTGTTGCTTGCTCTCTTTTACTTCACCCAGTTGCGTGGCATGCGAAGAAAATTAATGTTATGGATGAACTGCGGGCTGAAGCAATCAAAGTATGTCGAGTCGTTGATTTTTGTGATAAATTTCTGGTCAATTTTATGGGCTCATTGAGGGCATTTGATTGAAAATAAACGCAGAGAACAAAAAGGTTTACTTTTAAGGGAGCTGCGGTATTCTGAAATTGAACGAGTGAGAAATCTTAAAATCAAGTGATTTTGTTATTAGTTTCCAATGATATAGTCCTAAATCGTAAGCATTTTCACACTAAATTCCAGTAATTGAAACCTCAAAGTTTAGGAGAATTTTAGTTAGTGTTAAGAATTTTTGCACGGAGAGAAATGTTCAGTAAATGTTACGAAACTCACAATTCGCTCACCGATTACGGAATCGACTCAGAAAATTTAAGTGACGGTATCGTAATTTTTCACAGGAGATTCAGATAAAAATTACGGAACGCTCTGGAAAAATTCCGTGACAGTTCCGTAAAATTTCCTACAACCACATTTTGTTTTTACGGAAAAAATGTGTAATTTTTATTGAATATTTCTCTCCGTATGGAAATTGGGGATCCATTTCTAAAAATTGAAAATGGATTCCTTAAAATCATCGATAGAGGGTCAATAGGTCAACTCCAGATAATTGCCAAAGTTTCGAACACACAAAGTGTTCTTCATCAGGACATTCATTTATTCTGCATTGAAAAAAAAATTCAAAAAATTAATATTACCACAAACCAATGTATTGTCTATCTATAACAAAATTACATTATTAATAAAAAATGAAGAACCTACTGACTTTTCAACCCATTAGTTATTGAAGAGTTGTACAGAAATAATCCAACTAAAGAATACCGTTAAAGTTAAAATTCTAACAGCAAGCAGAATAAAATTTTGTTCATTTATTGTTAAAGTGATCTTTCATAATTATAATGCAAAGAAAAGACCAGGGAACAATCAGAACAATCATTAATGTCAAAATGAGTTAAATTTAGCTTCTGTTAACTGATAATATAATATGATAATATAATATAATACCAATATTTACAATTTTCCATTACCAACTCAATCATCAATCGAATATTGAAATTTCGAAATAATCCATCAACCAGTAATCGTGTAAGAAGATTGACCATTACATGTCTAATTGAAAAATCCTTTTATAAAATTTAGAATTATTTACTCAATAGTTAGTAGAAAATTCAAATTATGAATTATTTTAATATTTTCAAATTTCAAGTTAAATAATAAAATAATAGTACTAGAAAGGTGCAAATTCTAATAATATTACAAATGTAATGATTGTCGAGTGATCGCTGCAAACGGGTGACTTGAAATTACTATCCCATAAGCATTAGCATCTTTAATGATGCTCTCATATTTCATATAACATTTCAATTCTGGCTTTCATTCAGGAAAAACAGGACACAGTCTTGAATAATAGAACGCGAAAGGATTTGAAAGCTCTATCAGTTGAAAACCTCAAGGAGAAATTGTCGACTATTGCCGATGATCGTCAGGGGTTTGGAAGTCAGTATCTTTATTACGATGATGAGGAAGAGGGTGCGGCTGGTATCGATGTTGAAGGTGGAACTCCGATGATGTCACGCGCCAACGACGGATGGTAAATTAACAACTCCCTCTCACCCACGAGATTAACATTTTCAATAAAAAAAGGCGTTTTGAAACATGTATTTTTCTCGTTGCCTTCAGGTTCTCAAAGAAAAATTCATCGACAGTATCGCTCACCTCGAATCGCACTGTGAAGCATGAAAATCCACAAGTACGTTTGCGAAATAAGTCGTTCAGTTTGAGTAGACCACCGAGCATAACAGCGCTGAGCCAAGGACATTCTCTCAGGAATATTGCCAAGTAAAATAATTCCAAAAGCATTACCCAATGTTCAACGGCTATCTCTTAAGTTTGTGAAATATTTATCAATCAGGGGCATTAGCGAGAATGACGGCAGGCGGCGAAAGCTATCTAATCAGATATCTGGAACTACTCCGCTGATAATCGTTAAGGAATCCTGTGAATCCACAAACTCCAATGAAGACGATTGCAAAGCTGATGAATGCGAAAAATGTCAATTGGAAGGAACCGCGGAGGAAGAGCCTGTGGAGGTGAGAGAGTCCGGTAAGGGAGATCTCGGTTTGCAAAAGACCATTCACATTCGCAAACGAGTAATTGAGGGAGAATTAAAATTTTCTGCTCCAGGAACATCCACCCTCTCGTTTCAAACGCTTCATCAATGCTATCGTCATCTTCTTCGATCTCAGCCTCCTGCGGGATAAGGTCTTTGTGAATTTGATGCTGGGACTGAATTTTGCAAATTTTACTGAAATAAATTTTGCACTCATCACTCCGTTTATTCTGGGGGATTTCGGACTGAAGATCAATCAGGTGGCCATGTTCATGTCGGTGCTGGCTGGAGTGGATATGGCTGCCAGGGTTTTCATATCTTTCTTAGCTTCGAAGATTGGGTTCAGTAATCGGACCTTTTTCCTTATTGGTGTTGCTTTCATGTCATCGGGGAGACTAAGTAAGTAAAAGAAATTATGAAAGATTTCTGGTGTCGAAATCTAGCTGTTTGTTCGAGCCTAGATTAGATCCTAGATTAGATGCTGATCCGATACTGGTCGGAATTTTTGACGTGGATACGTCTATGGTTTCAATATGGGGGGTCATTTTGGGAAACGATCCTTATGTGCAGCGCCATCTATCGGAATTCTAGGAAATTCTAGACATTTTGAGGTAATTCGAGAAGTTTCTTGAAATTTCGCAAAAATTCAAGGAGTTACTAGAAATTTCGAGGAAATTCAAGGAATTTCTAGAAAATTCGAGGGAATGCACGGAGTTTCTAGGGAATTCGAGAAAGAAGGAAATACCAGGGACGTATCCACGTTCAATTACAGCTGTATCGAAGATACAGCCGACTGCAATTTTTTATTTAAATTTTGCATCATGATCTGGTAAGATTCTGAACGGAGTGTCTGGATCAGATATGACGGAGTGAATTCCGATCCTATTCTGATCAGTCGAATCCCGACTGGATCCGTATCAGATCAGGTACTGATCAGAAAGATCGGATCCTAGCACTTTTTGGATCAGACATAGATCCAAATGAATCTTAAATTTCTGATCCAAAATTGATAAAAATCAATTGTACTGATTAGTCTTTTATTCTAGACTGATTTGAGTTTCCACTGGTTCCACGAGTACATTACACAGTTGGAAATTCATTGAAATTTAAAGTGTAGTGCTCGATTTCTAAATTGGACTAGATTATTGAAAGAGTTTCTCATTTGTTATAAGATCGATCTTAGAAGGATTTAGTTGCGGTTAAGAAGTCTCGTTAACAGCAACTAAATCGTTCCACTTGTTCTATTAGTGCATGGAGAGAAAAATCTCTTAAAAATTATCTGTGAATTCTAGTGAATATATAGCGTATTGACCTTTTCAGAATTTCTATGATTATTTCCCCCATCACCCTTCTAAACAATAGAATTGTGGTATTCGACAAAGAGAATTAGAATTATATGTAAACTGATCGTTGCCAACTATTTCAATAATTCTTACTCCAAATCGAAGGTGGCATTTTCGATAATTCGTCTATAAAATGAAATTTAATACATAATAGTCAAATTTTATGAATGGTTTCCTTGTGCCACTGATCATTAATGCTCGAGCGTAGCTGTATATTATATATTGAGCAAAGCGGATATTTTGAAACATCCCCAGACTTTTTTGACTGAACGAAAAAATATGATCCTTAGTTAGAAATGTACCTTACTTTAGCCGGCTGCCGTTGAATAGGATCACAGGTGTTTTCTCAGTTGGAAAACGGAGTAAATTGTAAGGCAAATTTGTGAGTTGGTTTGTCGCCCAAGGGATTTTTTAAGGCCTTTCGAGTCCCCTTTTTCGGGTCTCATTTCGGCACTCTATCCAACCCTATTCATGCGGCTGTGGATTCTACACTGTACCGCATTCGCACTCCTATAGAACATAGGAGTAGCATAGGAAACCACAGGAAACCGGTGCCGGTACAGGCGGTTACTCTATTAGCAACCTCCCGCTCGCCGGAGCCTTCCGTTGAAAAATTTCATTCCGCGGGAAATCAACTGGCAACCTTTCGCACACTAGACTTGCGTCTAGCCCACTCCACCACCGACGTCGGTTCCAAGGGAATTTCAATTCTTGCATTACAATTTGCATTATAATTCGCAACTTTTTTCAACAGTTTTTTCTTTATTAGTTTTCAACAACGTAAAGATCTTTTTTCTATTTCAGCCACAGTCGGGTAGGGTGAGGTACATTTCTAGCTAAGGATCAAATTTTTTTAGTTCGTTCCTAAAAGCGTGGGGTTATTCCAATAAATGACCACTTTATTAAATATACGTACGTTAATTACAATTCCCTCCTTGATTAATCACAGTTTCCACTCTCCTTCCACGCCTTTATTAATTATAGCTTCCACATAATTATACGCGCAGTTTCCACATACCAGAGTTCTAGTTCTAGAATTCATTTTCATCACAGTAGACGATAATTGAATTCACAACGGGCAATGTCCAAAATTGTAATTTTGAAGTGAATTTGAAACCGATTTGTTCATGAAGTTTGTCATCTAAATTGCAAGATTAATAGAAGGTTGTGAAAATTCGCAAATACATTGGTAACGCATAACCAAATAGTTACTTCAATTGCCACCTAAATTTCAACAATTGTTGGTTATTCTCATTACCTTATCGAATCGAACTTCATCCTTTCATCCTGCGAGAATCAATTGATTTTTCAGAAACATAATCTACTGAAATTCCATACGAAATTATATGCGAATTGATCGTTGTCAATGATATTAACAATTTCTACTCGCAATCGAGGCTGGAGTTTTCCGACATCAATATCAAAGAAAATTAAAAACATAATAATTGAATAATTACATAATAATAATCCGATAAAATTTTTAATCTCCCATTCTTAATGTCTATCATTTATTCTATTCATTCCATTAAAAGACAAGTATAGAAATTGAATTTATGGGTATTCTTTCATTATTCGAAAAAAAATCGATTTTAAAACTTTCAGGAGACATTGAAAAATTGTTTTTTTTTTCAGTTCTTTCTGTCCACTTTTTTTGCATTTTATGGATTTCTTCTCGCTGAAATATTGATATCCCTCTAATACTTGAAGAAAAAAGTGATTCAAAGTCCTCGCTGATATAAAAGAAGAAAAAAAAATATATTCTAGTCGATTATCCCTTTCTTATTCTTTCATTCCCTTTTCATAATAATAATTGGACCATAGGAATAAGGAGGACCAATATCCTTTCACCATGTAAAGGGAAAAATAGATTTAAAAAATTTTCAGGAATACATGGAAAGATTTTTCTATTACCCGAATGAGAATTCGAATGACTTTTATTTTATGTGTTTGTTTTGAATACAAAAAAAAACAATTTGATTGATCTTCAACATGATTCCTCTTTATTCAGTGTTGTAACTTATGAATGAAGGAAAAAAAAAATATAATAAGAATAAGGATGGATGAAATTAAATTAATCTAATTGTCATGACGGAAATGGAAATAAAATAAAATAAAATACTATTAGAAGCGCCTGTTCGCTAGTTTCAGGAATAATTTCATTGTATTGCTGATTATTAATTATTACTCTCTCATTAATTAATTACAGTTCTCGCCCACACAATAGACTACACAATAATCCTGCTGGTAGCAGTATTAGTCGGCTTCGGGAAGAGCTTAAGAACGATCTTCATAGCCCTGGTGATTCCGTCCCACGTCCCATTATCTCGACTCCCAGCAGCGACAGGACTGCAGTTAGTAACAAGTGGTCTCATTTCCATCGGTTTCGGTCCCCTCGTAGGAAGAATCAAAGTCCTTCTGGGGAGTTACTCCCTCCTCCTGCATATTCTGAATATCTTCCCCTACCTAGTCATCATATCTTGGACTCTCGAAGCGTGGATCACATCGAGAAGAGCCAAGAAGATCGAAAATCAGTTGAACTCTGAAGCTTAATAATCCTTTTTATTACTCTTTCTAAGTAACGAAAATTGACAAAAAATTGCCTGATTGTAAAATATAAGATGTTACACCCAAAAAAATGATTTATTTGAACTAAATAAACTTTATTTGAATCAAGTAAATCGTTTATTTAATTCAAATAAACGGATTTTCTGCGTACAGCTACCAGAAGTGACGTTGTACCTAGAAATTCTAAAAGTAAGCAAGCGAATTATCAAATTCGGTGTGGAATGTATTATTTCTTAGATAATAAATCTAATTTCACTACAAAACTGTTGAATCACTTCCAAAATTACACTGAGAGACAATAGTATTTTTTCGGGCTGTTGCGATGGGTTTTTTTCTCGTGTGGCGTTGGCGTCTGAGCCAAAAGTATGGACTTGGTCAACCGTACGAGCAGAAAAAACCATCGCTACAGCCCCGGGAGAAGATTTTTTTGTAGTAATTTTCAAGTTTTCGAGCGTGGGAAGTATGCAATACCAATTTCCAGACGAGGAATCGTAAGAAGCAGTATAGAAATAGTATATTTCGCGTCGAGTGTCACTGGGGTTTCCCAGCCTCGCCTTCGGCTCGACGTGCCAACCTCACACTCGTCGAAAATCCCTGTGACACTAGGCGCGAACGATATTTTTCCATAGGGACTTTCACTTTTGCCAGTTCGGGGAGGGGTCAATACCAATCCCCGGACTGGGAAAGTGAAGGTCAGTACGGAAATAGTATATTTCAGGGCGAGTGCCATGGGGTTTTTTTACTCGCGAGTAAAAAACCCCACAGCACTAGACGTGAACGATATTTTTCCGTAGTGATTTTCACTTTTACGAGTTTGGGGAAGGGTCAATACCAATCCCCGGACGAGGAAAAGTGAAGGGCAATACGGAAAAAATATTTCCTCAAATATGGTTTCATGAAATCACCTGAAATCGATGAAATCCCAGGTTATCACGGATTTCACTTAATTTGAACTGATTTCATACGATTTCCATCCTGGGTGAAACAATGATTTCACAAATCAATGGCCTCTCCATTATAAACTTCTGAAAATGAGTAACATGTTCCTTAAGGATATTTAGTCATTTTCAGAAAATCCTATTTTCTGTACTGCTTCTCACGATTTCTCGTCTGGGAATTGGTATTACATACTTCCCAAACTAGAAAACTTGAAAATCACTACAGAAAAATATTGTTCCTGGGCTGTTGCGATGGGGTTTTTTACTCGTGTGGCGTTGGCCTCCAAGCCATAGGCGAGGACTGGCCAACCACACGAGTAAAAAACCCCATCGCAAGAGGCCGGAAAAATACTATTTTTCATGTTCATCGAAAATTAGATAATTTTTTTGGCTGATAGCAGAACATATGAAACTAACTTCTTTGATGGTAAAAAAAAATAATCGCAATAATCGCCAGAAATAAATAAACAAATTTTTCCTTGAAATTTATAATTCACCTGCTATAAGACTCTAAAAATAGAAATAAAAATAGAAGGTAATGTGCAAAACTATACTGAATCGAATGGTCAGAAAAAAATTGGGGTACCCGCGCAAAAAGAGGAATTATTGAAAGATTCTGTCCCATATAAACCACTCCGTTTCTAAATAATGAACGTGGGTTGGTGGATTGAAATTTTTATCAAGATAAAGAGAATAACTTCATCTCTCAGTTGAAAAAAAAATCAATTTTTTTAATACCTGCGATTTTGGATAAACATCCTTAAAATCAAAACTTTTAATTCTGCGTTACCACCTTATTCTCTCCGTTTACAAAACTGTCGAGTCATTTCCAAAACTCCTAAATAGTAACTAGAAGTTTCGATATATTAAGCATTACAAACATATGTTGGTAAAACCCAGAGAATTATAAGCAGTATCTCATTGATTAGATAAAAACGACTGTTCCGTATCTATCCATAACGGTACACTATCTCTCCTTCTTTCTTTCACTCTCTCAACTGTGTCATGGCTCGTTACCATATGAGCCACCGAAGATCTCCGGCGTTCCATTGTCGAACGACAAGTCCATGTGATCTTTTATTGGCCGGAAGAAGCGACTGAGAGATACGTAAGAAAGGCATCAAGCACGGAGCTGTGTCGGGCAATTAGTAGTGGGGCGCTTCAGTCACTCCACGCTGTGCGTTTGACACACATTCAACGGATGTGCTCGAGTTCAAGTTGAAAAATGTTGTGTTTTATAGTGAAATAAATTGTGTTCAATGATTAACAATACCCACTCATTATCACATTTGCGAAGAATCGAAAAAATTTGTGTTGATTTGTTTTCTCGCGGGTTTTAACATACAATTGTTGCTTTTAACATGAGTGGAGAAAGGAGTGGAAGAAGGGGTCATGGGAATGAGAGAGAAAGTGAGAAATTCATTCCACCTGACGGAGGGTGGGGGTGGATGGTGGTTCTGGGATATGCATTGAATAATGTAAGTTTGTTTTTCGATTAAATTCTACTTGAAACACATTTTTTATCATTTTGTTTGAGCCAGCTGATAACGTCTGATTAAAGTTCAAAAGTACAATTTGAGAAACGGTTTAATTCCATTTTACAGGTAGACGTTTGGACGTTTGGAAGAACGTTTTTTGTAGCCTTTATTCTTTTAACGAATAAATTCTCAGAAAAAAACTAACTTCGACATATTTTTTTTTTTTTTTACGGCCTCGGAGTCCCTTTTTCGGGTCCCATTCGGCACTCTATCCAACCCTATGCATGCGGCTGTAGATTCCACACTGTACCGCATTCGCACTTCTATAGAACATAGAAGTAGCATGGGGAAACCACAGAAAACCCATGCCGGTACAGGCGGTTCCTCTATTAGCAACCTCCCGCTCGCCGGAGCCTTCCGTTGAAAAATTCGGTTCCACGGGGAATCGAACTCACAACCTTTCGCACACTAGACTTGCGTCTAATCCACTCGGCCACCGACGTCGGTAACTTCGACATATTTTACGAGAAATGATAATGATGGGAAAGAAATTTATGAATAAATAAAAAACAACAATGTTTTCTTTTTCTCACAATCATAAAATTGAATTGAATTATTTTATCGTAATTATGAGAAGGATGATTGCCCAAAACGCTTTCCCTTTTCTTTTTTTCCAGCTAGTGATGGTGCCATTGATAACAGGAATGGGACTGATCTTCAAAGATCTGTTTAAAGACTTGCACTTTGCAGAACGCGATGCATCGATCATCATGAGTATAAATATGTCTTTTGGAATGCTCATGGGTATAACTCATGGCCCACTTCTGAGAATGTTTGGATACAGAAAAATTGCACTCGCCGGATCAATCATGTTTGTTTCTGGTCTCATGATGACTGCAATATCCCACAAATTCACGCACTTTATTGTTTCTCATGGATTCGTAACATGTAAGAATTTCTGTGAAAGAGAAAATACGAACAGATCTTATTGGCTGTATTTTTTTTCAAGCTTTTGGAATCAGTTTAACAATGGCAGCTTTTTCTCTGGCATTAAACACGTACTTTCTGGAGAAAAGAGGTCGTGCTGTGGCCCTTGCGATGACAATAACTGGACTGGGACCAATAATAATGCCTCAGATCATTACAGTATTGTCGAATAATTATCCATCTCAGGTAAATTGCGAATCATCAAGTGGAGACTGATGAATTTCGGATCCTCATTTTTTCTCTCTTTGTTTACATTTTGATACGGGAAATCAACTCTTTTACCCGCATGATTTCAGGATTTTTGCTTCAGAATGAAAGTATTGAAATCGTTGAATTTTTACATTCTCTAATTTTGCTTGAAAATAATGTAAAATGGTTTGAAACGTAAAAGTACGAAGTTTGATGACGATGTGTGTGCGTGCGGGTGTCCACCTGGTGGTCAACTTTTTGAAAATGGGAGAAATAGAGAACTAAAATAATTTTAAAAAATCGATAATTTTCTTAATAATAATTTACAGAATTTACATAATAATAATCGGATAAAATGTTTACTCTCCAATTCTCAATTTCTCTCATTTATTCTAAATTTTCTAGAATGTATGGGCATTCTTCCATTATTCGAAAGATTATATTGATTTTAACATTTTCCGGAGACGTTAAAAATTTTTTTTTCTCAATTTCTTCCTGCCTACGTTTTTTGCATTTTTTTCCCCAACAGATATGAAGACAAACAACTTTTCTCCATTTCCTAGTCGATCATCCCTTTTTAAAAATTTTCAGTTTTCAATTCGTGATTTTTGCAATTAATTGGCGTCATGCCATTCTATTATCCTATCGAAAGACAAGGAAAGGAATCGAATTTATGGGTATTCTTTCATCATTCTAAAAAAAATCGATTTTAACAATTTTCAGGAATATATGGAGAAATTTTGCTATTTCCCGAATGAGATTTCCAATGACTTTTGTTTTGCCTATTTGTTTTGATCCCAAAAAAAAACACTTTTTATTGATCTTTAACATAATTTCTCTTCATTCAATGTTGTAACATGTGAATTAAGGAAAAAATATATATATAATAAAAATAAGAATGCATAAAATTAAATTAATCCAATTGTGAAGACGGAAATGGGAAGAAAATAAAATATTGATTCCTCTCGATATCTTCTATCTCAATCAATAAAAAATATGTACCTGTTCATTCAAAGTTTTCGAGATATTTTGAATTTCTGGGGTTTCGTTCAAAATTTTTCTACGCACTCTAATTTTTGAAAAAATGAACATATCAACTTGTTATATTTAATTTTCGCACATCATGTGACATTCGTTAAAATCATGTTCAATCGAATGACGTCGACTGCTTATCAATGTGGGTCTTGTTTGGCTGCTTAAATACTCTCGAAACGTCTTGCATTCGTTTACATTGAATAATATGGCAGCCTGTCTACACCGACAGAAACACAATTTTAACGATACACTCCAGGCAGAGACAGGGACTGATAAGAGAGTGCAGTGACACATAGTACATTGAAATTTATATATTCTCATTTCAGCACGCTATATTTATTCTCGGCGCGATAGGTCTGCACACAGTAGTGGCGTCTCTACTGCTCCAGCCGGTAAAGTGGCACTCCAAACGCGGAGTCCGCGACTCCAAAGATCATGAAGGTGAATCATTTGTTGAATTCATTATGATTTCATTTCTATATTGTTGTCAATCTTGTTGGAATTAAATATCAGCTGTACATGAATGTTCCTCAGGATTCTATGAAATTGCCGCTTTATCCGCGGGATTCAACAAAAAATCGTTTTTTTATGTTGAGCGATCATGTTTATACGAATGGCAACTTGAATTATCTAATTTATTGGGAAAATTGAATATTAGTTTTAATTAGATTTTAACTAAATTGAGAATTCAGGACAATAGTTACCTGAATTTTCGTAGCTTTCAATGACTTTTATTGACTCGAGAATTTTAATTTCATATGGATCTGTCGTTGTTAAATATTTCAAGAATTTACTTAAAATTACAATAATAATCTCTGTATGGATTTAGCTAAACTTTCTGTGTATGAGAACACTCAATAGACAATCTAGCGCATTTAGTGGAAAATTCCGTTCGCTTTCTATCAAAATTCTACCTGAGTTCTGCTAAGAATTGCATTAATTTTTTGTCAATTTCTTTACAAAATTCGACAATTTTTCCGAGTGATTTTTGTCTATGGTTATTTGTTACAAAGTAGTCCATAGATGTTAATAATTCTACAGAACTCATTTTATAGCCATTTTTTCTTCAATTTTGCTGTGAGGCACAAGAAAAACTAGAATACTTGTGGCTCAAAACTTTTTTGAAGAAAATTTCAAGAGAATACATTGTTAAAAACTGCCTGAAATTCAAGTTGAAGCTACATCTCAATTCTCAATCTCTGGACATCATGAAATCTCTCATTTATTTGAAATTAAAAAAATTGAGTTTGTTTCATTCAGCGAGCGTTGATATTTCCGTGACAGCTTGAATTTTCCGAGTCATTGTGCAGATTGACCATCACATTCAATTGAATTTTCAATATATTTACAATTCAAACAAATTATTTCCTGAATTTCCACAATTTTCAATTGTTTTTATTGTCGAATAGACCCGAAAATTCGGCATTTCCTTGTTAATCCAAGAAATAAACTGATTCGTCAATAACAAAGTACATGTGAATTTCATGTAAATTTGTCATTGCCAAAAATTGGAGATAGCTTACTCGAAATTTCAGGAGTAATTTTCTAGGAGTATAAATCACGTAGAAAAATAAAGATTAATCCCTCACGTACGTGGCCCTTCTGATACCAAGCCTACCGCCCACTCAATACTCTTCGTGTTAGATGAAAAATTGTAAATAAAATATATAATTGACGCTACAGTATTCACCTTCCCACTGGTATTTGATCGATTCCATTATCTGCCATAGTTTCGGAAATCTTCAATTCGGAAGAATATCAATTCACTCTTTACTGTACACGGAGAGAAATTTTTTAGAAAAATTCTAGTGCTAACCCGGTAAAATAGGCGAAAAGTGACGTCCAAGGAAAAATTCCAGTACTGACACTGGAAATTTTATTTAGGAAAATGTGAATTTTTCCCCGTATTTCTGTGAAAATTTCACAGAAATCCCCAGAAATTTGACCAGAAATCCTGAGAAATTTTACCTTAACAGCACTAGAATTTTTCACAACCGCTGGATTGTGATTTTTTTCAGTACTCATACTAGAACTTTTCTAGAAAATTTCTCTCCGTGTCCCCAAATTAAACCTTTTAGATTTAAAAATGCTGAATAAAAAAATACATATACATCAATTCACTTCTAAGAAAATCCTCTAGCACTGCAAGTTTTTCCACTAAATGTTTTCATTCGTCTCTAATTACATTGTCCTAACAGAAACCGAACGACAACTTGCAAAAGTCGAAAATCTCAAGCCTGATTCTGTTATCACCGAGAAGTTCGAACGAAAAAGAACGATTTCTGTGTCAACTTTGAACGGAGATCCTCGTAATTCTGATCTTCAGAAGCTGGAGGTCACAGAGGAGACGAAGAAGACGCAAGTGATTTACGTTCGACGTGACTCTGGTAATTATTTCAATTCAATTAACTTTCCGACTCCTTGCATGAATTTGATGTAATTAACGTGATGGAATAAATGAAGCCATGATTACCAGTCCCATCTCTGCGTGATGGAAATCCCAGCGTTCGGCATTTTCAGTCGGTTCAGAATGTCGGATGCGCACAGCCTGAGGAAAGTAGAACGAGGCATCATTCACACAAATGGTGGAGTACAGGTGAGCATCATCGAGGATTTCAAATTAATCGGGGTCTAATAGTATAGATTTTCATTCAGGGAAAAACCTCAATGCCACGAATATCGGCAGCTGCCCCATGCTAGTGGATGAACCACTGTTCAATCCCGCGATAGCAACTCATACTCTGAAAGAGGATGAAGAAGTTGGGAAAAATTCAGGAGGAAATGATGACGAGAAAGAGGATGATAATGAAATTTTAACAAATGAATTTTCTAGTCTGACTCATCACGTTTCGTCAGAGCCATCTGCTGTTGTCAATAATAAGGAACACCATACAGTGTAGGTACTAAAATATAAATCAAACTGTATTGCATGTCAATAATAAAAATATATGGGACATTCACACAGATGATTTCGAAAATATGTCTGATGTTTCAAGTTTTAGAAGAGAATTACAGAACATCTTCTTCCTAGTCTATTTCGCCAAGCATATGCTAGACTTGGGAGTATTTCAAGTTTATTTTAGCTTATGAATCAAAAATATTTATTTATATATAAAATGTATAAAATAGTATAGTATACGTAGGTCTACATAGGTTTGGTGAAATAGATTGCTGACTGAAAATGTTTCATTTCAGTAGCGAAGTGGTGAAACGGTTCAAGTCAATTTTGAGTATTAGTTAGTTTTCAATGAATATCTCGGAATCTAAGCCAGATAGAAACATTTTTGTTTTAACCTTTTTTGCAGCTCTCAATTCGCTCTACAAAAAAAGTTATTACAGAAATTTCGCTATCTAGCTTATACTCGGAAATATTCTCCAAAAATTCAACAAGTCGACTTAAACCATTTCACCACTTCGCTACTGATTTATTTGTTAATAAAGGATTGAAATGAAAATTGGTGGATAGTTCTACGCATAGCTTACATTTTCACACTTTGAAAATGAGACCGATTTCACTGTTAGATGGACTTAATTTCATACACCTTACAATGTGAATTTTGTATGATAAAATTTTTTAAATTTCATTTCTCGATTTTTTTCTAAATCCAAACATAATAAAACCGGACATTAACTCCTTTTTGTTGGATAAACGAATACATAATGATAAAAAATAATATGCATAAATCACTAGCCAATCTACAGAAATATAAAAAAATCAAAGAAATTTTCTGTGAAAATGTTTTTTAATAGATTTCTTTCAACTCTTCATCTCCAGGATTTTCGCACAGTAGTCTGCGCATGGATTTCCTTTTCCACTAGTTCGTTATCTGAGTATTTGGCTCGTTCTGCGCGCTATAAATATACCCATTGGGGCATATAGTTTTTTTGTATAAAAAATTAATTCTTTACACCTGTTGTTGTAATGGGTAAATTATGAAAATCTCGGGTTAAACCTTTTCATCTCCAAGATATTTTGAAAATAATCGATATGAGAATCGTTTACTCATGTTTATTTTCATCATCACAGACATTAAATTCACAAATGTTTTTTTTTCTCCTCCAGACATTCCTCAAAAAAGAAAAAGCACACATCCGAGGACAGCTGCTGCCCCTGTCTATCCAAAATAGTAAAATTCTTCGATCTGAGCCTTCTCTGTGATCCCATCTACGTCAATATAATGTTAGGCATGTCAATAGCAACATTTGCGGAGATAAACTTTGCCATTCTCCTGCCATTCATATTGGAAGACATCAAATTTGAAACTAGTCAATCAGCAACTGTAATGACAACCACTGCAGCAGTTGACCTTTTGATGCGAGGTGTTGCCCCATTCGTGGGAGAGCGAGTGCGCCAGACATCCAGGGTGATGTACCTAGTCAGCCTAGCTATGCTCATCGGCAGCAGATCGAGTACTGTAACCGTTGCAACTAAATACACAGATGTGTTTTCATTACTTCGGTTACACGCTTTCAATTCATAATTTTGTTTATTTCAGTTCTCGTTTATGCACGTAGTTTCACTGCGATGATAATTATGGCCATTGGAATCGGATTCGCCAAGGGATTCAGGTCTGTTTTCATGACTCTGATTTTGCCAAATTATATTCCCATTGAGAGACTGGCTGATGCCGTTGGGATTCAGATGGTAGTCAATGGACTTGTGCTCATGGTTTTGGGACCATTGATAGGTAAAACTTTTCATTCTAACATTTGTAAATTTGAAATCAAGTCTGAAGAACTGTCCCTACATCTGTAGGGATTGAAATTATGTATGAAGAGATTTGAAAGGAAATCGGAAACATTCGGTAGTAAATTCGATTGGAATTTCTTTTGGAAATTCTTTTGGTGTTTTATATCATTTCTGTTATGAAAATCGATAAATATATTTTGTTTCAGTTTTTCTCACTGTATTTTCTAGTTTGTCATTGAAAAATTAGAAAGAAAATGTAAGAGAAAATCAATAGATATTTAATTTGGCACTTTTTTTCATTTTTACCCGGTACATTTTTTTTCCTTTCATTCGAAAGTTCGAATAAACTTGAAAAATTTGAGCCGTTTAATTTTTTTATGAACAAAATATTGATAGAATAAGTTTTCTTGTAGAATCGAAAGATATTGAATCTTTTCCTCACAAAAAAAAAATCAGGAAAAGACTAAAATTTTCACAAGAAATGCACGTGAAATACACGCGAAATTTCTATTGAATTTTATCATACGTGTATTGCTATCGACTCATATTTTGGAATTTTGAATCAAGTCTCAATAATATCTGTATGGATTAAAATCATGGGTGAAAAAATCTGAGAGAAAATCGGAGACATTGAATGGTAAATTCTATTGGAATTTCTTTTGCGAAATTTATTGGCGTTTCACGTAATTCTTGTTATGAAAATCGCTAACTACAATTTTTTAAAGTTTTTCCCACTGTATTTTCTAGTTTGTCATTGAAAAATTAGAAAGAAAAAAATCAGAGAAAATCCATATATTTTTAATTTGGTATACAGCTTATTCTATTAAAGTATTTTCTATAAGTTTTTCTCTGCACATTTTTTTCCTTTATTCGAAAGTTCGAATAAACTTGGCAAATTTGAGCCGATCAACATTTTTATGAAAAAAATGTTAGTAGAATGAGTTTTCTTCAAAAATCTAAATCTATTGATTATTTTCTTCTCAAAAAAACTCATGAATTTTCAAAAGAAGTATGAAAAAAAACTAACGGGATTTTATCACACGGATATTGCTATTGTTTGAGAAATTCCCAACTGTCTCCTCAAATTTCTGAATCCACAAAGAACTTCCTAAAGATCTTACATTGCCGTAAAAAAACATTTTAAAAAAATTCATCATCTCTCTTAGATACTGAAATATTTTTCAAAAACTAATCCCTCATATAAACAAAAACCGTCTTTTAAAAAAGAAATTTCTTTGTATTTTTTTCTATTATATTTGTAATTTGGTACAGGTATCATCCGTGAATTACGAGGAAGTTACGACTTGTGCATAGTCCTGATAAACAGCATGACAATGCTCACAATAATTATGTGGACACTCGAGGCATTCCTGATCCGAATGTTCAAGAACCGACGGAAAGCCGAGAAGCAGTACCAAGAAGTTGCCCTAGCCGAATGACTTAAATACTCATCGCAAAAGTATTAAACCCTCCTTCGAATCGAAAATATATTCTGTACAAAGAGAAAAAACCGAATTATCGTGTCTTTATTTTTACATAAAACTCGAATTCTCTGTGATTAACAATGGAGTTAAAATTTCTCCTATAATGTAAACGTCACTCCCTCATTAAGGTCACGTCCTTGTTTGGTCTCCTTACCCCTGAAATGGAGCTCTAATTATTCAACCGTTGTTATCTCGTTATGGAGTCACTGTCGTATAATCATCGTTGGTATCGTTAGAACGAAGACAATAGAATGAATTTTCCCGAATACTTCCGGCTTCCCCTGTTTTCACACGACTTTGTGTCAGTCACAGAGCAGTCCACAGTCTCGAGTTTCTTGCAAAGAACCTCATCGACCCCAAAAATATCTGGAAATTCCTCCCATTATTGTCAATTTTCCCTCGTCCCCTCTTCCATCACTTCCTTTGTATCGATGAAATTTGAATGATGGGATCACTCATTGCAGCGTGCTGAGGTCATAGTACACTGAGAAAATTGGAGCATCGAGTAAATGGCCTTCCCGTTCTCTTCTCCAGGTCAGAGGACATTTGCCCGTTTTCACCTGTTCAATTTTATTCTCAACCCCATAAATAGGCAATTCACGTATTCCTTTTATTGAATTCAATACGTGACACGTTCAATGTAGTCTGGACGTCATCCAAATTTGCGAAACCGGGGAAAGGCATTTGCACCAGAATCATCATCTCACATCACGTATTTCGTATTTATAACAAATGTTGAGACAAGTGTTATTCGTGAATTCGATTCAAGACGATTTCACGTTCACTTTCCCATTTTCGAAGAAATTCTTCGAGAAAATACAACTGGGTTAAAATATGGATTGATTCTTTATTCTAGACGTGAGTCGAATAGACCGCACTTACGTACAACACTGGCCGTGGTTGGATCAACAGAGTCAATAGAGACTGTGTGATGAATTCATTTGTGAAAATACGCTTTTTTAAGAATTGTGAGTTGAGAGGATTTCTATTGACTCTGCATCTAACCGTCTTGAGCTTCAAATACTAGAATTAAGTTTAATTATCATTATTTAGATTATTTCAGTGTTCTAGACGCACATGGCGCGATGAGGGAAATTGTTTATAAATATTTTAGCAGTCTATTGAGTTCGCGCACATGAGGATCGTTACACTTTTGTTATTTGAATACTTCGTCATTGTCTGGTATGCGACACCTGAAAAGAGAAGATTGTAAAGTTTTAAATTATTTGTTTTTCACGTAGAATAGAATTCCGTTGAAGAACGTAGCGAATTCGCTAGAAAATTCTGTTGGATTTCTATTGAACTTTTTATTAGTTTTTGATTGATTCTATTAAAAAATTTCGCTGCTCATGTGCGGGATATTCGCATAAAAATTGATAGAATTCATTTTTTATAGGCAACTTATTCTGTTAGGTTGATATATCGAAATGACAAAAAGTAAAATGTAATGTAAGATGTTAAATCGGTAATTCTCATGCGCGTGGTTAAGGATATCCAAGTCCTTTGGCTATTCGTTCTACAGTCAAATGCTTTTCTACTTTTGTAATCGAACATCAGAGCTTTCGTTTGAGCCCCATTTGACCCCAACTTCCCGGACATTTTACAATGATTTTATTATTTAAACTTTGCAGGTCTGAATTTGAATCTCGATACCAATTTCTTTATCTCAATTTTAGATAATTTTAGCTAATTTCTGTGTCACTACCGGCGCCTTGATTCCCGTTAAAATAACTATGTAATGCACTGTTGATACACTATTTTGTATCAACAGATCCTTCGAATTTTTTACGAGTGCCGTCATCCACAATCTTATTGTTTAAATAAATTGAATTGAAATGAAATTGGTGTTGAACATTTCCTTAAAAAATGCGAAGTAAAGTTGCGGAATTATTCGGTAGAATCGGCCAGTAACTTATGGAATTTCCACTAGAAGTCCAATAGAAATTCAATAGAATGGACCTTTTTATTCTGGAAATCTAGGGAAAATTTTTTCATTCCGTTCATCGAACTGAAAAATCTCCCGAGAAATAAAAAATTTTCATAAATATTGACATTTAAGACCCGAGTCAATTATCTTTCGAAAGAGATCTTGGTTGTTTTTTTCATTTTGACAATCTGACATCATCTCCAATTGCTATTCAGTTTTACATAGCCCTGAAGTCTCCAAAAATTATCATTGTACAATCAATAAAACTGTGCAATTGGAAATTAATAATTTGATGTATCTAATGGCTGGTAGGTCGTTCTTTGTCACAGTAGTCAATGGCTGTCAGCTCGTTAGTTGCCATGATAAATTATTCATTTACTATTTTCTCTCTATCGGACTTATTTCTAATCTTTATTAAAAACGGTCTTTGAAAATGCTCATTTTTTTCTACTTTTTTTTATTGTACAATTATAATTTTTAGGGACTCCTGCGTGATGTAAAATCTAATGGAAATCGTGATATATTTTGCATTATGAAGATGGAAAAACAATCGAGATAACGTTCGAAAGATAATCCACCAGGGCCTTAAGATGATACACATTTGAGCCCTTGAAAATGATGATTTATATGTAAATTTGGTAAGTGTCCGAAAATCGAGTGACTCTTAGGCTGAAAATGTCTATTTCCTACGGAATTCGCTAGATTTCTTAATGAATTTTTTTTGTCCATGTTTTCATGCAATAAATAAATGTTTAATCACCTTCGAGTGACCTGAGTAGAGAATCGGCGTTTTCGGCGAAGTCGTAGAAACATTGGAAGCTGCATAGTCCTCGTGCTCCATTATTCCCCAGAGAGGAAGGGTAGCAGGTCCGGTTGACGCGACGGCCAGGTTGTTCACCGCCTCTGGGAGAACCTGATACGCTCTCTCGATTGATGCGAACTGTCCTGATGAGGTAGCTCCACTCTGAGATTTGTCTTTTGTCGACTTAGCTTTGGATTTTGGTGGTTTCGACGCTGACTGGGGCGTAACTATGTACACACGCTCCTTACTGACTGGGGAAATTGAAACCGGAAGTTGCTCCCAGGAGAGATCTTCGGAGCTCGATGGGGATTCTGTTGAGGGCTTTGGTGATGAGGTTTCGGTCTTCTCTGATGAAGAGACCTGAACAAACGAAACTTTCGTCAACTAGGGGTGTAAATTTATTCAAAACGGTTGACTTCAGAAGAAAACGTGAAGAGGTGATTCAAAGAAGAGTAAACAATTTACGTTTCATCCTAAAATTGTTTACATTCAATAAGATTTGGAAAAACTGCTTATTTTTACTACTTCACTGTTAAGAATAACCAAGCAGTTCGACAATTTTTTATGAAAATTGTTTTTAACATCGGTATTTGAACGTCAAAGCTCCCATTCTATGATATTATTCGTTGAACTTTTCGAAGCCTGATTATATTAACAATTTCAATCATTATAAAATATTTCAAGAATAGAAAAAAAAGAAGTCTACGTTTTGAAGAGGATCGATGAAATATTTAAACGAAAGTATTGTTATTGGAGATTAATTCTTCTTGCTGACCATGGATTATTCACGTTCACAATGTTTCCAGTAATCAATCTCACGTATAAACAATTCCTATTGTATGTCTTAATAGGAAAATGTTTGGGAACCTAATGGAAATTTAAAACAAAAATCCAGTTCTATTAGAGTTTTACTAGAGATTAGATTGTGTCGAGAATTTTTTTTGTTTTATGTGAAATTATCTTTGTCGTGCGATATTTCACAGAAAAAAATCAATCGACTTTGATTTTTTCATTTGAATCATTTTCTTAAATTTTTTTTCTCGAGATTTTCAACATTTTCCATGTTATATGTTCTTCTTTCATCCAAAATCATCCCACCAGAATAAGTTAGGAATATATCTAAATTTGAATAGAATTTTCTGACAAAACCACTAGGAGTTTCTATTAATTTTTTTCAAATGTGATAATTAATAAAATAGTGAATTCCGACCGTAACTTCACTGCCCCCCCCCCCCCAGCAATAATCAAGAATCAACCACAATTTCTCCTATGAAACTTCAATAATTATGACTCCAATTACTCACACGAACATGTGGAACCTCAACTCTACTACTAGCCGAGCCCTCATGATCCAAGTCATTGAAGTTGAAACCATTCAAAATATTCCCAAAAGCCTTCTCAGCCTCCTTAATAGTTGCTACTGGTTCAGTCGTGGTAAAATACTCATCGGGAATTTTCTTGGACTGCTGAAGCCGATGGGGAGGACTGGGAACAGCAGTACTCACAGTTGCTCCCCTCGAGTATTCCTGCAGCGAAAAGGAGAAAAGCGGATGAGAAAACTTCTCGCTTTTGTCGCGGGTCATGAGCATAGGTAAGAGTCACTCTGTGCAAATATCCGTCCCACATCTGAATCCTCGTTTTTTCCTCATTTCAACACCTTGTGTGGGTTATTATAGTCATACAATGTCACGTGTTGAAATGAATTTTCACACGTTGGATTAATAGATGTTATTAAGTGAATTACGAATGAAGATTAAATTCCAGGGTTAATTATCATTATCTCATCTGTGAGAAAGAGAGAAATAGTGAAATGTTGGGGGGAGTTATGAATGTTTCCTGTATCGCTTGAATCCTCGCTAATTTGATACATCCAGTTCTTTTCTTTCATTTCCATTCCCTCCATGAAGAAGTTTTTCATTAGAATTTAATGCTATACTCACTTGGATCGTCCAGTTGTCAATATTTTTCTGAAGCCTCAAGGGGTCAATAGAGGTATTAGTCTTACTCGAGGAAAAGGGTCGCGTGAGCTTTTTCAACTTTGGAAGACTCTCCAACGTCTGAAGAATGTGAGACCTCTCCTCTTCAGTGATTTCTATCGACTCCTTGGAACGGTCTCGAACGGATAACACTGGAACCTTTCGAGGCTGGATTCTTCCCGGGTCTGTCCAACTGCCCTGGCCGTGGTGGAAAGGACTCGGAGTGTATTGAGAGGTGTAGGGAATTATTATCTGTACCTATGAGAAAATGGGCGTGATTGTTATCATCAATCATGTACGAAAAACTTTACTAAAAAACCTAAAACGTTCGATTGAGAATTCATTGGGACTTCTGCTGAAAATTCTGTTGAGACATTCTTCAGTTCTTCCCTGTGTTTTTAAATAGAAATTTTCTATTTAAATTCCTGGACTTGAATTTTGCATGTTTCATTCACTGCAGTTTTTTTTCTCACTGGAAAATTCAAGCCAAGGAATTTTTGTAGAAACGCTATGAACAAAATAAGTTGTGTAGAAAATTCAACTTCTATTGACTATGGGTAGGTTGCACCGTGCCCTATTAGCCAAATAAATCGTCAGAATAAATTTATGAATGGAGTAAATTTATTCCATAGTTAGACAATTTTAGGAATTCGTCGTATAGCGTTTCCATTTAGCCATTCGGTCGTGAATATCAACTAAATACTTCATACACCATCTTTTTTGATAAAATACCTTCCATGAACTTTCGATCAAAATTGCTCGATAGATTATTATTATTTATTCCAATACTTCACGCAGGATTTTCTCAACTGGGTTTGGTGCACCCGGGCGTAAATAATTTTTCCTATGAAACATTTCAATTTTTCAATAGAGTCGGCGAATGCGCCAGATTTTTCTATGAACTGATAGAGTGATTTTTTTATAATTAATAAATTGATTTAGTCGAGTCGTTCGAAGTGCTTTTGTTAACAGTTAATAAGTAGAACATTTGATATCTACACAACATTTGTTAACTATTGACAACTATTTATGCGGTCCTATTCGACCATTCTTTAATAGTTAATAAAGTTCATTAACGATGAAGAATTAATTCTATCAGTTGCAATGAATTCCTGTTAAAATTCTATTCGTTTTTTGCGCAGAGTCTATTGATATTTGATACGAAAAAGTCGATAGATTCTTCTGTTTGAATTTGTATCTTGAGTTTTTTTCCATTAAAATTTCGAGAAAATATTCATATAAAAAAATTGAAATCTATTGACTTTTTCCTCTTAAAAATCTCATGGAATCAGCGCAAAAAACAAATAGAATTTGAACGGGAATTCCCTAGAATTTCAATAAAATCCCAATAAAATTTCTAGAGAATTCTAATGTAATTTTCAGCGAATTCGCTGAAAATGAAGTTTTTCTATTGAATTTTTTCATGCGTGTGTTTCTACAGATGTTCCGTTAAAATTGAAGATATCCAAAACAAATTACACTCTTGGGCGCTTTTAACGCAAAAAATGTCCAAATTTGGGCCACTGAGATTGCCACAATTCGACACAATCAAGTAAGTCAACATTAAAGGTCAATTGTTGAAATTACTTCCAAGTCACACTTTCCAGACTTTTTTTGTATACTTGGGCTCAAAATGTTCTGTGGGACATTTCCTACTAAGTTCCCAGATAATGTTTTCGAGTAAGCACGTTAATCAAAAATCATGACTATACTTAAAACATTCCATTAGGGTACTCGTGACACATGACATGCAAAAGTAGAAAGAATAACTCAAGAAGTGAAGTTGCGTTGTAAAATTTTATCATTGTGAAAAATCCGGCGGATCCAACACTTGCTTTTTCGATTGTGAACATGGTTATTTTCCCTCGCTTGTCATGACTTCTTCAACGTGAAAATACTTTTATAAAAATGAAAGTACGAGGAATGGGGGAGCCGTTCGATGTGTCAGTAAAAAATGGCCCAACTAACGAAATGAGTCAGAGTACATTGGACCCTCACGAAAAGTATGACTTCCGACGGCGTGGATAGACAGATCTCTTAGGAGTATTATGACATGCCAACAAAAGACACTTAAGGCTGTTTGACTATTGCGTCGAAAATGATGACAAAAACAGGAAAATATGGGTGGCACAGATTTCTATGTTTGTACACGAGGAAATAACATGACAAACTAACAAAGGGTGTAATGGTAAATATAGGAAAAATGATATCTGCTTCAAAAATAGCTATAAACATCTGGAATTCCTTATAGGGGGGATCTATCGAATTTTTGCGAGTCAATTTTCACATGGATTATAAAGCTCGGTATATTTCAATCACTTACTTTTTAACTGCATTAACTGGTACATAGTTTTTTTTTCTCTGGTATACCCTTTTGGGTCTTTACGATTTATTCACTTCCCACCTCCCCCCCCCCCAACGCCCTGTACGGCATCCGCCGAAGGACAGGGGGAAACCTCACTTGAGGGAAAAACATGTCCAGGTACTGTCGTCTCTCGCGAGACTCCCGATCGACAAATGAAATCGTGACATTTAGAGTGTTACAAATTTTGGCCCCCCCAGCCGGAAATCGAACCCGGGTCTCCCGCATGCCAATCCCACAATCTAACCACACAGCCACCGCCGTCGGTAGATTTATTTTTATTTTTTATTTATTTATTTTATTGTAATACGAATCGAACAGCCGTTACCAATAATACATACTATCGTTTTTCCGAACTAGAATAGAGTGTAAAAGACGAACAACCTTAATCTCCTACAGATTTTCTGCAGCTAATCTCCTACACGAGGAGAAAAGCTGGAGAAAATCTCTGTAGAAAATATCAAATTTCAAATTTTACTACCCAAAAGGTAACTTGGAGCGAAATATAACTCAATAAAGAAAAGTTTTTAGGGAGGACATCTTACGATTCGTTCGGTAAAAAATTTTATCTGTGGATACAGAAATGACTGTTTACTGAACCGTAAAATTTCCCGCACCGACGGGATATTTTTTTCTGGCACCGACGCGAAGGACATGGGCGCAGACGAAAGTGAAATTTTACAGAACAATTCCTACACATTCAGTAGTTATTCACGTTTACTGGCGTAATTTTTAAAGGAATCCCGGGTAAATTTTACAGTTTCAACACAAATTATTCTCATGTTCAGGAGATTTCCCGGAGCCAGTGGATAAAAATTCAGTATCCATCTTGCCTTTTTTCCTCGATATAGGCTGAAAAAAAATCTAGAAATGAATTTCATACTACGATTACGTGACTTATTTAGTAATTTTTCTACAACGTTTGTCGCCATGTATTGAACCTATTTTACAGTTCCACCAAATTTTCAAAACGGTATGTCCACACCGAGAACAGTCCCGACTTTCTGAGACCCCAATTTGGTGTCAGAATCAACACCGATTTTTCTACTGTGCAGCTCAGGGCAACTTTTCCCTCTCTATATCAAAAAAGTAAAAAAAAATAACTTTCCTCACACGAGGAGAAATATTCAATAAAAATGACGTTTCTTTTCCGTAATTCCGTCGCGAGATGTGGTTGTAGGAAATTTCTCGGAACTGTCACATAATTTTTACCTAAAATCACAGACTTTTCCAGAGCGTTCCGTTATTTTACCTGAATCTCCTGTGAAAAAATGTGGACGTCCGCATGGAAAGGGCCCACTTTGTCGATTCTAGTTTCGGAGATGTTCACGTTTTTGTCTCCGCAACTTCCATTGAAACCAATGTTAAATTATTTTTTTGATCTTCTCTGGCGACGTCATTTTTCACGCTATCAGGATCATTTTGGGCTCAAAATGCGCAGAATGGTATCAATATTACCGGAGTATCCATAACTCCATATCGACAAAGTGGGCCCTTTTCACGCGGATGGCCACAAATAACGATACCGTCACTTAAATCGTCTGAGTGGATTCCGTAATCGGTGAGCGAACTGAGTTCCATAATTTTTCTCAACATTTCTCTCCGTGCACTTCAACTGATTTCACTCACCTGTTTATTCCTTTTACCCCCTTGCTGCTGATGATCCACATCCTTCATATTCCGAGCAGTCCCCGACGACGCAGTGAACCCGGCTCCTTCATGAATATCCTTGGGGTCAACCCAAGGTCTTCCCTCCTCCTGCTGCTGCTGTTCCTTCTGGAAATTCCTGTAAGACTTCATGATGGCCTCGAACAGAGGCTCCTCAGTCGTACTCGTCTCCTCCCTCTCCCCCAAGGGTGCCACCCCCTCATAGTTTTCATACGACTGCGGAGTCGTCGCTATCCTCTGCCCAAATTCCGAACTATTCCCACTCGACTTTCTCAACACATCCACCAGCAAAGACGTCGTGGTCTCCTCCACCTTCACCTGTTCACCACTCGAAGCAACTTTCGCACTCTGCCCCTGGGGATGTTCTTCCTCGGCTATTTGAACCGTCGAGGAAACCCCTGTGGAGTCCCTGTCACTAATCACTGAACCAACGAAACCTGAGTGATCACTCGGCCAGGTCGCGTTGATCCCATAAGTGCCATCGGCATTCTGGAGGATCACCGGAGCTTCCGCGGTGTCTCGGGAGGAATTCGAATTCTTACAATCAACACTATCCTCTGATAAATCAATCACTGGCGACTGCTGTATGTGAATGATATGTTTGCCGTCAGAAGATACTTTCGTAGCCAATTCCGTGGGCTGGTTGACAGCTGTTCTGTGATGCTCAGTGGCACTCGGCCCTGGGTTCTGGTGCTGATGAGTCTCCACAACTGGAGTCAACGATGCAGAGGCTGTTTCGTGCTCGGCGGGTTGATACGCAGGGGATTGGACGCCAGGGCCGAAGGACCCGGGGTTGACGGTTCCTTCAGGATGAGTTGGGGGGAGATGTTCTGGACCTGATGCAGTCTCCGCACCAGGCGGAAGGACATCCACGTAATCTCCACCTATGTGGGAGGGCCCTGACGGTGGGATGTGACCGGCAATGTCCGTAGGTGGGGTAAACTGATGGGTGAAGGGTCCTGGAGGGACTTCTGCATGCGGATTTCCGCCGAATCCGTAGGCTGCGTTACTCCTGAGTTGTTCACTGTGATCTGTCGCTGCTGGTGCTGAGTCCCAAGGAGCCGCTTTGAAGAGCGGAGGCATCGCCCCAGGGTACAGGTGGGGATTCGGGATAGGTCCGGTTAAGGGGGACGGGAAGTCCGTGTTGAAGGTGTCGGTGGTCTGGTGCTGGAGGTTGTGGGGAGGCGCGGGAGGACGCTCCCAACCAAAGTCCGGGATTTTGACCTCGTGAGAGGGCGCGGGGACGTGGTAGTTTGGGGATGAGAGGTCTTGGTGGGGCTCGTCCAGCCGGATTCCAGGGGCTCCTTCGGCGTATCTGGTGTTCATGCTGATGCCGTTGATCAGGGGGATCCAGGGCACTGTGTCGCAGGGGTGGCAGTTTGCGTCGGATAGAGGGGGGAGCTGGGAGTGGATGGCTTTGGGGGAGGGCGCATGCGGTTGCTGCTGAGGTCCGTGGCTAGATTGGGGAGATCAGGGAGGAATTAATGCGATTCAATTTATTAACTGGGTAATTAATTTAGTGTCTTTCACTATTTCGTCGATTTTGAGGTGGAAAAAATACAGTATTGTTTTTCCGTACTGCTCGTCACTTTTTCTCATCCGGGGATCGGTATTGGGCCTTTCCCAAACTGACAAAAGTGGAAATCACTACGGAAAAATGAGGTCGAGCTGTTATTGTAGGGTTTTTATACTCGTCGAGTAAAAAACCCCATAACGACAGGCGGAAATATGCGGAATTGATATTGCATACTTTCCAAATTTGGAAACTTGAAAAACATTACAACGCTGGGCCAGTCCGAGCTTTTGGCTCAGACGCCAACTCCACACGAGTAAAAAAATCCATCAAAATAGCCCGGAAAAATCAGTAGCGAAGTGATCAAACGGTTTAAGTCGATTTTGGCTATTGGCCAGTTTTCAATAAATATCTCGAAATCTAAGGGAGATAGCCAAACTTTTCGCATCACCTTTTTAGTAGCACTGAATTCACTCTACAAAAGAAGTTTGTAAGAGATTGAGGCTAATATTAGGGTGGGTAGGGGGCACGGGATATGGAAAGGGTGAAATTAATGACATGCGGATTACAAAAACACTGGTGATGTACTTTATTAGTGGCGCAAGACACGCGTCTTGAATTTAGGGATATGAATTGGTGAATGTTTCAATTTTAAATTCGATAATACAGTCGCGAAGTGGTCAAACGGTTCAAGTCAATTTACTCTTTAGTTGAGTTTTCCAGAAATATTTCTGAATTTAAGGGAGATAGCGAAATTTTTATCTCCCTTAGATTTCGAGATATTCATTGAAAACTGGCCAATAGCCAAAATCGACTTAAGCCATTTGACCACTTCGCTACTGAATAGTCTTTACACTGCACTTCATAATCTCTTGATAATAAACTTGATAATTGACTCAAAATGATTGATAGTTGACTCGGAATTAATTGATAATTGAACGAAATAGAGACGCTACACAGATTGCTAAACTCAATATAATAATCGGTGATGTACTCGATACACGGTTACTTTGATATTGTACTCTGCAGGTGACTCTCTGACTAACCGATGTATGCTCTTTGAGGAATAGATTGATACTACTGAAATTTCATATTTGGCGATTTGCTTCGTGATTTGCCCGCGAACCCGAAGAGTCCCGAAGTCGATCGAGATTTTCCGTTGAGCCCGGTAACTTTAGATAATGACTTATTTGCTGCGTTTCAAACAAGATTACTATGAAAATTTCGCTATCTCCCTTAAGGGTGCCAAGTGAATTTGGCGATGATCTTGAAAATTGAAATTCAACAACCAAGTTATAATTTTTTTAATTAATAGTATTAGACAGATGGTGAACATCGGTGACAATTTTAAAATTTTAGAACTTATGGATATCGAGAAATTAAATAAACAAAATCAGTCTTATACACGGCCTCTTATGGAGTTTTCATTAAATTGAACGTTTCAACCCCCTAGGAACTCAAGAAAAATTTGAAAAAATTTGAAGATATGGGGAATGATGTGTTCAATGTGATGGCGACAAAAAACAATGGGGTACCGGGGTGAATAAGAGAGATATTTCAACCCGCCGTACCCATTTGATCCCATGCGTTCTCGAGGTTCGTAACGCGAAATAGAGGATTTTCCGCATTTATTTTCTCGATGTTTAGTTCCGGTTGCGGGTTTGAAATTTCATCGGATGGATGAATACATATACATTTCTCCAATGATGGAGGAAAAGAAAAAATATTTTTTGAATCTTTTTTCAAATTCACTTGGCACTCTTAAATTCGAAAATATTTCTGGAAAACTCAACTAAAGACTAAATTGACTTAAACCGTTTGCGCGCTTCGCTACTGAAATAATATTTTGCTACTGAGGTTCGGGGCCATATTGAGAACATGAGGGATAGTAGTAATACGATTCAATTAACCCCTCACGTACGGGGTCGATGCATGTTATCGACCCATGCAAATGTGAACGCTTGTTCTCAAAATTGATGATTTCCAAATCTATGAAGAATAACTTGATCAGACCAACAAAATTGGAAACCGGAATACTGTAGCTTCAATTAGATACCGGTTTCATAACTTTCCTTTCATTAGAAATAATCGAATTCGAGTCGTATTGAGCACACACTACGCTTGGTAACAAAAGGGCCCCGTCCGTGAGCAGTTAATATATTAATTGGGTAATGAATTTAGTTTATTTTATTATTTCGTCGCTTTTGAGGTGAAAAATGTAGTTTTTGTATAACTGCTACTATTTTTTGCTTCCGAATGGAAGCATTGTATTTGTCAAATCCGAAATTGCCAATTTTTTGGGTTAAGATAACTAATTTTGGCCTTAAAAGCTCGAATATGCTATGTTAGATCATGTCCAGAGGCATGTATGTATGCGTGTGTGTGTATGTGTGTATGTAACCGATCGTTTTTCGACCATAACTGAAACAATAATTGTATAATGAATCATCGAATTAAATTTAAAATACATCCGCATAGAGATTCCATTCCGTAGCAAACTGCTAATGTATTAGCAAAAATATGTTGACTATGTTGTTACGAAAATAATTACCCACTTGTTTTTTATTCTCCTCACGCAATTTAACTAGAAAATTTGTTTAAAAGTTCAAAATCTGTGCTCGGATTACCTTATAAATGTTATTCTTCAAATGGGAACCAATATTTTCCCTCCGTATTTCGCTGTTGCGAGGAATTAATATGCTTTCTACTGTGAATATAACAGGATTGATGAAGCGTTTTCATTCGTTTTCATTCCATTCAAGTGTAGAAAGCAGTACTTCAATAAGAAATATTTCGATTGATCATCATTAGCATATGTGCGATGTGAAATTTCCATAATGTGACTATTCCTAATGATTTTCTCTGCATGATAAACACCCCCCCCCCCCCAATCACGAGATTTAAATCACCTGTTGATGAAACTAGAAAACGATGGGAATATTTACGTGTCAATTTGTGGTGCTTGTGGAGGTCCATAGGTTTCATGTTGCACTGACGCGTGGAATCCAGGATGATTGAGCTGGGGGGTGGGTGCAACTGGAGGTGGTGGAGAGCCGCCGCTCCAGGGGTTGAACCACCCCATGAACCTCGCGAAGAATCCCGGGGATTCGGGGGCAGGCGATGGCGTCGAGTTCAGGATCTTTCCCTGCCGAAACGGTGATTTATTGGGGAATTGAGGAAGGCGGTTTCTTTGGAGTGGCGGGGGTGGGGGTGTGAGGAACTCGCTGAGGGCCGCTGCCCTTCTGCGATGATGCCGAGGCGCTGGGGGTCGTAGTCCATTGCTCCTAGCCAGTGCCGTGCAGGACAAACATACGAGCAGGATCAAGCACGACAGGCTCTGAAATTTTTTCACAATTTACGCTGTTAGATTGTAGAAGTTTGATGATTTTCTGGTCAACTGTCTAATCGCAAATGTTTACACACTGAGAAAAAAATTAGAGAGATAAAAGAATAGAGAGGAGTTAGAAGAGTAGAGAGATAGAAGAGTAGATAGAATTAGAGAGAATAGGTTAATTAATTTCCCTCGGATTTACTTGAGGGAAATTAACCAACTTGACGGAGGAAAATTTAATATCTTCCACAAAAATTTAATTCTTGTTGTGATCATCGGAAATATCCCTAGAAGAATTCGAAATGTGAGCAGAAAAAAATATAATCTTTTGTACCCTAGGTTGATTATTTCCCTCGGATTTACTTAAGGGAAATTAACCAACTTGACGGATGAAAATTTAATATCTTCCACAAAAATTAAATTCTTATCGTGATCATCAGAAATATTCCTAGAAGAATTCGAACTGTGAGAAAAAGATATATAATCTATTGTACGAACATCATTTGATCTGAGTGAACTCCATAGGTTTGTCATATAGAAAGAATACATTGACGAGGAAAGTGACAATTTTTTCCCCCCAAAAAAATTGTCACCTTGAAATTATTTCGTTTTGCGAATAGCACGCTTTTCGGCAAGAAAACTGTAGTTTCCTTTTGAAATTATCATTTGTTCCATGGAAATTATAAGTGTTTATTGGACAAAGATATACACTACTCAATAACATTTACTTGATAAAACCGGAGCCTCATATAATTCTCTGTAGAACAAATGTATCTACTCGAAAGACATATAAATGTTTCACGAAAACAATTAGTACACGGAGAGAAATTGTTGATAAAAATTATTCTACCGTTCTATAAAAGTGTATCATGAGTCATCGTTTCCTCATTTCTATCCCGAAATTTAGTAAAAATTCATATATGATGATCAAATTTTATTCTACGTTAAAGAAATTTTATCCTGATAAAAATAAAAATTACCGTGCCGGTAGAGTAAAAATTACTGTACCGGTAGCGTAAAATTTACCAACCGTCCTAGAATTTTCGTTGTTATCAACATAAAAACTATTGGACTGGAAGGGTAAAATTTATTATGCATCAGGATAAAATTTCTCTAATGTAGAATAAAATTTGATCACTATATATTAATTTTTACTAAATTTCGGGATAGAAATGAGGAAACGATGACTCATGATACACTTTATAGAACGGTAGCATAATTTTTATCAAAAATTTCTCCCCGTGTACTACGAAAATTATTATCTTTTGGTGAAAACTTTCTTATTTGTTCACAAGTAAATTGATTTAACACGACAAAAGATTTATTTAGGAGAACGTAATTTTTCGGCACAACTGATTTTTTGTCTCAGTACAACAGGAAGTATCAAATTATCTATCGAATCCCATGGGGGAATCCCCATAAAAGACCATTTTTCTTGAAGCATTTTCGTTATCGATTTTTTCTATTCATCGAAAAATACAGATCATACTCCAATTAATCATAGGAAATATGAAACACACTTTCTATCGTTGTCCCATAATTCGTCACTTCTGGCCTTAAAATGTCTTGTTACGTTCATTCAACCGAACATCGACATAATCATAAATTTTTAATAAAATTAAATTTTGAATGAGTCAATTGTTAATATTACTCATCAATTTTTTAATTATGAAATTAATCATCAACTAAATATTCACATTCCAAATTATTTTATCAATCAATAATTGAATTCGGAAGATGGACGATTATTTGGCTAATCGAAAATCCTTTTATGAAACTCAGAAATTTACTCAATAGTCAATTGACGATTCCACATTGTCAGATTATAAATTATTTCATTATTTTTAAAATTTTAATGAAGATAAGTAAACCTTAATTATTGTAAGGTGCAACTGCTCATAATATTGCTAAACTAATGATTGACGACGATCCATGCATTCAACAATGGAATTGGAGAATTTTCAATTTTTTCACTTTCATTCATTATTTGGTGACAAATAGTTGATTTCAATCATAAAATTTTCAATCCAATAGTTCATACGACATCAATAAACGCGGAAGCCATTCAGCGTCCACAATGAAATTATTTATGAACCCATTCCCGTCCACTTATCTCCTCCGACATGATTAACCCCGTCAATATAAAACCCGTAAAACTCGTGCGTTCATCACACGAGAAGTGCACCTAATCGCCCAATCAATAACCACGATTTTCCCTCTAGTTTTCCAACTTCCCCCTCGAGCCTGAAACTAGATAATAATCTGATTCAGAGAGACAATGCTCGCGCGATTTCTCTTCATCGTGGAAACGTATATGTGCTGTCACACGCGTGCGAAAGCCCGCGTAATATGACCGGAATACCGCCGGGAAGCCGAGAGTATAATACTTGTTCTTTCCGCTAATGAAGTAGCTCATTCTGAGCCTATGGGATTCCCCCGATGGAAATCCTTTCACGTTAATGTGGAAAATTGATAGAAACGCGTAATTATGTTCAATCATATGAACTCTATTACCCTTCTTATATTTCCTCACTTCTTTTGCACACATGCAGGTGCATATCCATTAATTTTCATGTAATTTCCTATCTCACTTTTTGTATTTAGTCAACATCGAAAGAAAATGTTTATGGAAAACTTCAATATAATTCCTAGGACAGTCGTTAAACAATTACATTTCAGTAGCGAAATGGTAAAACGGCTTAAGTCGACTTAGCTCTCATCTAACTTTTTGAAGAATATCTCCGAATCTAAGGCAGATGACGAAATTTTTGTAATGACTTTTTTTCTAGAGCGAATTGAGTGCTATAGAAAAGGTTTTGTTAAAAATTTTACTATCTTCCTTAGATTCTGAGATATTCATTGAAAACTGGAAAATCGTCAAAATCGACTTGAACCGTTTTACCACTTCGCTATTGATTTGAATTCTATTGAAATTCAATTGAAACTCTGCTGAAAGTCTAGTCAAAATCCATGGAAAATTCAATTTTTAAAGATCAATTCTAATGAGAATCATTGCAATTTTGAAGCAGTCATTTATAACAGTAAATGACTGCTTCAGAAAAGTATAAAAGATAAAAGTCAATAGATGTCGATTTTTCTACAGAACCTACGCTGTTGTGATTTTTTCCGCCAGAATTCTCGGGAAAGAATTTTCTTAATTTTTCCCTTAGGATTTTGTAATAAATATCAAAATACAGTGGAAAAAATGAAAAATTTATTGCACTTATTAACAAACGATCGATGAATATTACTCCTTGAATTATAAAATTTATGCCTAAGAATTTTCTTTAAAAAAATCGTAAAAAATACAGATGCCTATACATCAATTTTCATGTAGTTTCCTTCCCAAAATTTTGTACTTAGTAAACATCGACAAAAATGTTGATGAGAAAATTAAATATAAAACTCGTTCGTTAAACAATTACATGAGAATTCTACTGAAATTCAATTGGAGTTCTATTGAAAGTGTATGTGAAGATTCAATTTGAAAAAATCAATTCTATAGAGAATCTCTGTAATTTCGTAATAATCATTGGAAAGAAAAAAGTCAATAGATGTCTATTTTTCTACACAACTTATTCTCTTTAATTTTTTCCGTAAGCATTCTCGAGAATGAATTTTCTTAATTTTTACCTTAGGATTTTGTAATGAATAACAAAATACAGTGAAAAGGAATCAAAAATCTACTACAGTTTCAATCAAACGGTCGATAAACATTACTCCTTGAATTAGAAAATTGATTGCCAAAAATTTTAATAAAAAAAATTTGAAGGGACTAATAATAGAAGAATAATATAATTCGAATAGAAAAATTTGAATCCATTGACATTTTTCTATGAACTATCCGTAAAAGAACTAGCCGTAAAGGCTGCGAAATTCGTTGTAGAAACCAGCAAATTACAAATAGAATTTTCTAGTAAAAGCGTTAATTTTCCCCTTGAATTTCTTCATAAGTGAAATGAATCCAGAATGTAAGGAAAAATGTCAGCAGACCTTTTTTGTAGAAAATTTCATGGCCTACAAAAGAGAATCCTCACCATTTTTCCTAGAATGAATAGCATGAGAATAAACTTCTCTCCCAACTATTTGTGCTAAAAGATATAATTCTGAAAATTATCAAAGAACCTCTTCTGTGCAGTAGTCTGTTGATTGCGAGAGAGTTCTAAACGTGGTTCTCAAAATGCATCCGATATTTGCAAGATAATGTATCCTCTTTTGTTTTATTCATGGTGTATCTCCATGTTTAGCCATTCGAGCTGTGAAATTGGAAAAATCGCCTGGATCATGGCCTAGATCCTCTCTCATCCATTTCCCATGATCTAAAATACATCATCAATGTGTGCCATCAACCTCAAATTGCCAAAAATGAAAGAATCCTCTCCCTTCCCGAGTGATTGTGCCCTGAATCCTCTCTATCCAATAACATATGCTTCAACTCTCCAAAGACGCCATTCCCCTCCAGGGAGATATTCTAACATGTACGAATTTGCTCGCCGATGCGTAAACACTGTCACCTCTCGTTCAGTAATTTCAACAATGCGAAAACAGGGAATAAAGGTTGCTGACGAGTTGCGTGTATAAATAGCATGGAGGTAATGTGCTGTGTGAATAATAAAAGTAGACGCTCGAGTAGTCACGATGGCTGACACACAAGAGTGCAGTCAATGGCACAAGAAGGATAATAGGTACGAGTGATGGTTTACTAGGAGGAGGAAGTGGGTCGACTCGTGAGAATCATTTCGTTGGCCTGAGAAGACGCCCCCGTAAGCAAACTTACATTTTGCTGATGACTCTGTGGTTGAACGTGTGCAACAGTTTTTTTTTGTATTATCAACCATGAGTTTTGGGGCTATAATCATAGGGGAGATTCAGATCTTCCTCGTTCAGTTTTTTTGATCAGTTTTTTGTCAATTATAGTTTTTTTATACTTCGTTCTTCTTATAAATAAAAAAAATCGTTCTTTGGTTTCACTTCCGCATTTATAAATGTCTAATTGAGATCGAGGAACGAGAGAAACCGAAGGT